AGCACATCTGGGGTGAGTCCCTGCCTGGTTCTGCTCAGCACAGAAGCCGCCACCAGGCTGCCCCGACAATGGCTTGGTTAGCCACACGTGCTTTCTCTTGAGCTTACACTTTTCTTGGGGTTATAGTGCCAAGCTGGGCTGCGGTGGAACTTTGTAAAACGTCTTAGGACGTGGCAAGCCGGTTGCTTTAAAATATATATAAATATATATTTTTATCCTCACCCGAGAACATTTTTGCATTTATTTTCAGATAGAGCAGGAGGGAGAGAGTGAGGAAAAGAGAGAGAGAAACATTGATGTGAGAGCGACACATCGGCCGGTTGCCACTCACACAACCCCAACCAGGGCTGCGGACAAACCGCAGCCAAACTACCTGCGCTTAGTGGGAGCCAAACCCGGGACTCTCTGGTCTGCGGGCTGACGCTCTAACCGCTGAGCCAAACGGGCCAGGGTTTTAAAAACAAGTTTTTAAATTCAAACAAGCTTCATGAGAGAAAATTGGGAAAATGCAGAACAATTAAAAAGGGAAGAAGTCACTCTGCCCTGAGGATAATCACACTTTGTTGTGGGATGGCTTTCTTTTTGCCCATTCTTTGGGCATTTTTAAATATAGTTCGATTCTGGATGGTGACTCTCGTGTCTTTTCTTTCCTTCAATATTTTGACTCAAGCTGCCCCCCGTGTTCGAGACCAGTTATCCGCTGTTTCAGTAGCCTCAGTTGTCCCCAAATTGATGGCCTACAGGTTATTGAACCTTATGATTCCGATGTGCCCCACTGTAGAAAACCCCCTGATGACATTTCCCGCATTTAGGTTCCTTTCCATGTTGGAATTCCCAGAAGTGGGATTCTTGTGCCAAAGACCAGGAATATTTTCTTAATATATTTCTATTGATTTCAGAGAGAGAAAGGGAGAGGGAGAAAGATGGAAACATCGATGATGAGGGGAAGACATCGATTGGCTGCTTCCTGCATGCCCCCCACTGGGGACCAAGCCCACAACCCAGGCATGTGCCCTGACCTCCTGGTGCATGGGCCGACTCTCAGCCCCTGAGCCACACTGGGTGGGCAGACCAGGAATATTTTTACGGCTCTTCATCCATGTCACCAAACTGCAGTCCCCAAAAAGGTGATATATATATTCAATATATATATATATTCAAAGTTTTCTCTTATGGAGGTCAAACACGTATAGCATGAGATGTGCCATCTTAGCTGTTTTTAGGCGCTCAGTTCAGTGCCGTTAAGGGAAGAGCATTCACATTGATGTGCGACCGTGGCCGCCGCCCATCCACAGAGCTTCCTCATCTTCCCAAACGGAAACACTCACTGCCATCCTCTCGCCCAGCCCGGCACCCACCACTCTCCTTTCTGTCCCTGTGCATGTGACTCCTCTGGGGACCTCATGTAAATGGGATCATGCAGTATTTGACTCTTGGTGACTGCTTTATTTCACTTCACGTCCTCAGGGTTCATTCATATTATAGCAGGTGTCAGAATTTCCTTGCTCTTTAAGGCTGAAAAATAAATAGTCTGTGGTATGGGTAGACCACATTTTGCTGCTGTTGTTGTTCATCCTCACCTGAGGATATTTTTCCATTGATTTTTAGAGAGAGTGGAAGGGAGGGAGGGAGAGAGAGAAACATCGATGTGAGAGAGACACATTGATTGGTTGCCTCCCACACGACCGTGGACCCAGGGCTGGGGATCAAACCTGCAACCCAAGTATGTGCCCTTGACCGGGACTTGAACCCGAGACCCTCTGGTCCTCCGGCCGACGGTGTAACCACTGAGCCAGTCTGGCCAGGGCTAGATAGACCACTATTCGTTTGTCCATCCCCTGTCGATGGACACTGGCTGTTTCCACCTTTCGGTCAGTGTGAGCAGTGCCGCCGTGCGTTGGGCGTGCACGACGCTCAAGACCCCACCTTCAGTTCTTTCGGATGTACACCCAGAAGTGGAATTGCTGCACTGTAGGGTAACTTCACTTTAAAACTTTTGAGAAACTACCAAACTTTTTCTTTGCAAATTGACATCCCCACCAACACTGCACAGGGTTCCGGTTTGTCCACATCCTCACCAACACTTGCTGTTATTTTTTTTTTTTTGAAGTATAACCATCCTAATGGATGTGAGGTCCAATTCATAAACATATATAACAGCTTTATGGAGATGCAATTAATTCACCATATAATTCATCCATTTAAAGTGCTCAATTCAGTGGTTCATAGTATATTTGTAGAGTTGTATACCCATCACCACAGTCAATTTTTGAACATTGTCATTACCTCCAAAAGAAATTTCTTACCCATTAGCAGTCCCCCTACTCTGGTACCCCACTCCCCCAGCACTTGACACCCACTAATCTACTTTGTCTTTATGGATTTGCCTACTGGGGACCTTTACTATAAGTGGGTTTATATGTAACATGTAGTCTTTTGTGCTTAGCGTCTTTCATTTATCATATTCCCAAGGTCCATCCACATGGTAGCATGTATCAGTACAGACTGTCCCGACTTTGGATGGTTTGACGTACAAGTCGTCAGCTTCACGGTGGTGCGACAGGGATACGCGTTTAGTAGAACCCCCACTTTGAGTTTTGGATGTTGCTCTCGCTCCGGGCTAGCGCTATGCGGTAGGACTCGTGCTGGGCAGGTTAGCGGGCGAACAGCCGACTCTCCGCAGTGTTGCAGGGTGTTAGGTTACCGTGTTGTGGATTTACACCCATCACGTCTACCAGATGCCCAGCTATGTCTCCTGCCTCTGGTGAGAAGAGGAGGAAGACAATGACTCTTGAGATGACACTCAAGATAATTGCCCAGCTGTAGGCTGATGTCAGTGCTCTGAGCCTGTTCGGGGGGTTCGGCTAAGCTATGACGTTAGGTAGGTGAGGTGTAGTAAATGCACTTTTTTTTCTTTTTTTCTATTTCAGAAAACTTTTTCAGGTTGTTTAATTTACAATGCCAACTTTTAAAAGGTCACTAAAGTTCACTGAACAATAAACTAGGAAGAAATCGCTTTACAAAAAGAGGGAAAAGCCCAAAATGCCCCTTTCTATGGAGAACCCACAATTCCGTTTTATTCAGAGCAAAGAAAAAAGAAACTTTTGATCATATTGGAAGAAACTCAGCCATAGGTGTGGAACCTGTACCCAAACGCCACATGCAATGAGGACAATATTCTGCTAATACAGTTGATTTGCTACTGCATTTGTCTACTGTTGGGCTAATATTAACAGTTATAAACAGAGCAGTGCAACTAGGATTTGGAGCAATCCTTACAGTGTTACAGGGTCAGGCACAACTTTTCGCTTCTCTTCACACCACTGGTTCTCTGTGAACCTGGGCTTCCTCTTCTTCAGTAAAGTCGTTTTTGAAATTGAAGGTCATGCGAATCTCTTCAGGAGTTTTCCCCTTGATCATATAGGCAACAGTCTTGCATATAACATCAAGCAACCCTTTGATGTCTAAATAGTTTGCAGCCAGAATAAGTTCAAAAAGTGTTCCTTGGTCAACTTTGAGGAATTCTTGGTCCCTGACCAAGGGATTTCATCTGTTCGCTTTTCTTTGTTCTCATCATCCTCAGGAGGAGGAGGGTCATCCTTGTGGTGGGTGCACCACTGAAGGACCCTTCTTAATATCGCTGCATTAACATTTGGTTGAGGAACTGGGTCCTCATCGCCTTCATCGTCCATTCCCAAATCTTCTAACATGGTCTTGGTAGTCACAGATTGGCAATTTCAACATCGACTTCAGATATCTCTCCATCAGAACTCTGCCCCTTAATTGAAGGCATGGTGCTCAGTCTCCAGGAGGGAGCGGGCCAGAGACTGACGAGACCTGGTAATACCAGCGGATTCAAGGAGAACAAGGCCACTTGCCGTAATGCACTTTTGACTCACAATGTTTTCAACGTACAGTAGTTCATCTGGATGTAGCTTCATCGTAAATCGAGGAACACCTGTTCTTCATTCCTTTTTATTGCCAAATATTATCCCATTGTACGATACTCCTGGGGGAGGGGGGATTTCAAGGTCACAGCATCATCATCAGTGACCCAGGAAGTAAGGCAGGCGGCGGCCCCTGGCTGTGGCCACAAGCGATGGTTCGTGGCAGTGGCTTCGGTCACGTGGCCCAGCTAAGCTGAGTGATAAAGGACAGAGGGTTAAGTTTGGAGATGAGGCTATGGAGTCAGTAGACAAAGACTTCTCTTGAGAAGTTTGGAGCACAAAAGAAGTTGGATGGGCCCTGGCTGGTTTGGCTCAGTGCTTAGAGCATTGGCCCGCAGACCAGTGAGTCGCGGGTTCGATTCCCGTCAATGGCACGTACCTCGGTTGTGGTTCGTCCCCGGCCCTGGTTGGGGTCGTGCGGAAGGCAACCAGCTGATGGGTCCCTCTCCCATAGATGTTTCTCTCTCTCTCTCCCTCCCACTCTATCTGAAGATAAATGAAAAAATATCCTCAGGCGAGGATTTAAAAATAAATAAGTAAATAACAAGTTAGATGGATGTGGGAGGAACAGAGTGGTCCAGGGGCTTGGAACAGGGCTGTCTCCAGACACCAGGAGTCTGAAGTCACTGGGAGGGAATGAGGCCAGAGTCACAGGTGGAAGGGACTGCTCTGTTGGGTGTAGTAAAAGAAATAACTTTCTAACAGTGGAGCAGGCTTCAGGGTGTGGCAACATCTCATTGCTGGAGACACTTGAGCAAAGAGAGATGGCTGCCCGTCAGGGGTGCTACTGTGCAGATTCCTGTGCAGGGAGGCACGTTGGCCTAGGTCAGGGGTGGCAAACACCCGGGAAGCTGTCAGCGTTGTGCCCTGCGGCGCCCCCCTGCAGTGCCCCTGCCAGGCATCACTGATTGATGGGGCACTCCCAGCACAGTGCTCCAGACGGCCTCTAACGATCCAGGATGGTTTATGCAGCGCAGCCGGTCTGCTCTCCCTGGGCCAGGATTCTGACTCTCCCTTCCCTTCTGTAAAATGGGTCCGTGTCGTCCGCTGCAGGGAAAGCTTACGAGATCACCTACGTGCGGCTGAAGTTCCACACCAGCCGCCCCGAGAGCTTCGCCATCTACAAGCGCAGCCGGGCGGGCGGCCCGTGGGAACCCTACCAGTACTACAGCGCCTCCTGCCAGAAGACCTACGGCAGGCCCGACGGCCATTACCTGCGCCCCGGCCAGGACGAGCGTGTGGCCTTCTGCACCTCCGAGTTCAGTGACATCTCCCCGCTGAGCGGGGGCAACGTGGCCTTCTCCACCCTGGAGGGCCGGCCCAGCGCCTACCACTTTGAAGAGAGCCCCGTTCTGCAGGTTAGAGAGGAGCGGGGTGCGGCCTTGGGACTGGGCTGTGAGTGGGACCCCGGGGACAGGGGCCACAGGGCAGTCTAAAGCGGCAGGACACAGGGGACCTACGAGATTTCAGATTTTAAACAGCAGAAACCTTTGTTGTGTCTGAACCTTTTAGCTCACTGGAAAGTCAGAGAAAGGGGGGCCTTGGAGACAGGTCAGGGGGTGGGCCCAGGACGAGCCGCCACTACCCGCTGCTCCCCTGGTTGCAGGTCTCGTGGGGACCCTTAGCATTTAGGAGAAGTGACGTAACAAGCTCATGCCTGAGAAATGGTCTGGTATCGTTGGTCTTGAGGGTTTCATCTCTTTTCTTTGGGTGAGAATCTTAGGGGAAGGTTTCAGCAGCCTGGTCCTCAGCTTCCAGGTGCGTTTTTAGTATGTTGATGCATCAAAATGAGCATACAGGGGAGTCTGGGATCATTCTGCGGTCGGCTTTACGGCTTCACTGTGTCGTGGGTCTGTCTGGCCCTAATCGGGGTTTTGTTATTGGTTCCCCTGACTTCACTGACCTTGGGTTTGGCTGGCACCACCGGCGTTAATTGGGTCTCTGTTCTCTATCTCCTTGCTCAGGGTGATTTAAGCTACATGTTCTCCGGTTAGGGAGGGGAGGCCGAAACCATTTGCTCTTGAGTGTCCTTGGTTGGGGAGATAAGGTCTTGTGAGTCACTGGCTGGCTGTACGTTGTTCAAAGGGTCTGGCCTTGTTTAATTATCTTGTCTCAGTTTCCCCATTCCACTGGCCCAGGAATTTTCCCAGCTCCTTACTCTCCTGCCTCAATAACAGTACCCACTCGGCAGGTTCTGTGAGGCCCAAGCCCCAGCCCCAGGCGCAGCCGCCGTGCCTTCCCTAGGCTGGTTTGAGAAGGAAAAGAACGTTGGCCCCTTTGGCTGTGAGCTGCTGCATCTCCGACCCCGGCCTCCGCTCCTCAGCTGCTCCGGGCACCAGCTGCCTCGGCACACCCTGGGCCCTTGTTAGAAATGCAGAGTCTCGGGCCCCGCCCCAGACCCTTGAATCAGAAGGCACGTTTTAACCAGATCCCTGGATGCTCACTGACGTTTGAGAAGCGATTCTGGAGTGCCAGGGACATCAGACTCAGCTGAGGTCCCCACTCGGGTTTTCTGGTGCTGGGTCCCAGGCAGTGCCCGCGGAGCCCCAGAGCTCAGGGAGGGGCAGAGGCCCGCTGGGGCAAGACAGCCTTCTCCAGGAGTTCATTTTCTGTCTGGATGGGCCAGATTGCTACACCGGGAACTCCTGGGCTGAATTCACATGCTAATTAAAATTCAGCCGGAGCCACCTAATTGTAGCAAACAGCAGGCAGATGAAAATGTCAGCCTTCACGTGGGCTCTCTCCCACCAGCTCTTGGGGGGAAGCCGCTCATTCAGCGATGGGCAAGTTATTTATTGAGTGCTTGCTGCGTGTGGGCAGAGCCGGGGGGTTGGGGATGCAGCAAGGAAAGGGGCCCCACGGCTGTGCTCTCGTGGGGTGTATATTCTGGTGGGACAGACATCACCCGAGACAGGTGACCTGTCTGTGGGAGCCTGGTCTTTAGCACGTGAGACGCCTGTAAGCCCAGGGCCCGCCCTACACCAGGCCTAGCTGAGCAGGGGAGAAGGGCACTGGGACATGTCCTCCCCCGGCTGACCTCTAGAACGGGGGTGCAGGAGCCACCGGGAGAAGTCAGGTGACCTGCACAACGGGGTCACCACTTACCTAGCACGTGCCAGACCCCCACCTCACTGCTGCATCGGCCTTCTCCAGGCACCCTCGCGGGCTCGGCACGTCCTTTGTCCCATTTTGCAGGTGGGGACATGGATGCTCCAGGACACTGAGCAACTTCCCCAAAGTGGCACAGCCAGGAAGTGGCCTGGCACCCAGGTTGGCGTGACACCAGCACGCAGGCTCCTGATTCCTGCAGTGTCCTTAGACTTTGTCTGAGCTTGACCCGGACGGCCAGCTGGGCCTCCCAGAAGAGAGGGGTGGGAGCAGATGCCAGGAACCTGCTGATGGCCGCCCTTCCCTGTGCCCCCCAGGAGTGGGTCACCAGCACCGAGCTCCTCATCTCCCTAGACCGGCTCAACACGTTTGGGGACGACATCTTCAAGGACCCCAAGGTGCTGCAGTCCTATTACTACGCTGTGTCTGACTTCTCTGTGGGCGGCAGGTAGGTGGAAGGCAGGGCGCAGGGACCCGGCCGCCAGGACCCTGGCCCTGGGGCCGAAGGTGGCCGCCATGTGGGTGTCACCCACATGGGTGGAGGGTGAAGGAGGGTGCCCCAGGGGAGAGGGGGAGCAGAATCCTGGCCCCCGGGCCTGGCATTCGAAGCTCCTGGCTGCTTCCAGCCCCCCAGCCCAGCCCCTGCTGCTTCTCCCCACCAGCTGTTCCCATTCTCTGGACGCACTCGACCTTTGCACCTGCTGTTCCCCCTGCCTTGAAGACCCTTCCCTGTCCCTCCCTCCTGCCCTCCCTTCTTTTCCTCTCACGGATACTTTTATTCATGCCATGAAGTGGCAGTAGGCAGCGGACAGCGACGCTCCGCCGTGCCCCTGACGCACGTGCTCAGCTCACGGCTGCACAGAAAGCTGGCTGCTGGTGGCCAAGAGCAGGCACAGGCTCGAAGCTTCCAGAGCTTCCTTGTTTATCCGACTCCTGATTTTATAAGCAGTGAAGCCCACCACCCCTACTCCCTCCAGATCTCCGGGCGAACTGGGGCATAAATGGGGACCCAAACATTTTCTGATGAGGCTCTGAAGCATCTCAGTGCAGGACGGTCAGCTCAGGTCCCCGCAAAGCCCCACAGCCAACGACTTGGGAGGGTCGCCACGCTCCGGCTCCCTTTCTCATGTGGGGCATTAGGCTGTGCGGGCGGGGCCCTCATCCTGGTCCACAGTCTTCTTTCTCCAGCATCCGTCAGTGCACTTTGTTGCTGGTCTGTCTAAGCATCTCCCGCTGATATCCCAGGCTGGTCTCACGTGGCCGCCGGGACTGGGTGTGCAAGGCGGGTGGTGGAGCCAGGGAAGGCACTAATAATGTCTGCAAGGTAAACACATCGGGTCCTCCTGGGAGAGCAGAGAGGAAGACAGACGTGTTCCTGCCCCAGTGTTGGGGTGGGGGAGGTGGGGCATCTCCAGTAAATACGGCAGCGTGCCCCAGACGGGCAGGGTGTGCCCAGGTCAGGAGCTGGCCCAGGTGGGGACCTGCCAAGGCTGGAGGAGGTGTGCATTCCAGCCCGAGGCCAGCGTGTGGGCCCGGGACTTGAGGCCCTAGGAGAAGGCCCTGGGGCAGGAATGGAAGGCTGGAGGCAGCTGGAAGGTAGTCAGGGTCATGGACGGAGTTTATTTGTAGCCCACAATCTGCGGGGAGCCGTTAAGGGTTGGCCAGGGTAGTAAAAGGGTTGGATTTTTACAACGACCAACCCCTGACAGCCACGTGGGGAAGGAGAGGCGAGAGAAGCGGCCGGATATGAGGTGGCGGCCGTGGGTGGTGGCGGTAGGCGGGGAGAGTGTGTGGGTCCGAAAGCTATTTAGGACCGGAAGTCAGTTCGTGGGAGTGATGGCCTGTGGGGTAGGAGGCCAGGCGCTTCCATGATTCAGGGGCACTCGGGTGGCGTTGGAAAGGTGGAGAAGTCTGGAGGGGACATGGGCTCCTGCCCACACTCAGCATGTCTGCACCTCTCAGGAGGGGCTGAGGCTTGGGGATAAAGGGGAGATGGGCCCTGGCTGGTGTGTCCACTGGTTAGAGCATCGGGCCTCACATTGAAGGGTCTCAGGTTCAATTTCAAGGCAAGGGCACATACCTGGGTTGGTTCGATCCCCAGCCCTGGTTGGGGCATGTGCAGGAGGCAGCCAACTGATGTGTCCCTCACATCAATCTCTCTCTCTCTCTCCTCCTCCCTCCCTCCCTCTCGCTCTCTCTGAAAATCAATGGAAAAAATATCCTCAGGTGAGGATTAACAACAAAAAAAGGGGAGCAATGAGGGGTGTTTGTGAGGGCCCCTCTGCTCCCCCTCCCTTGCCTCCCCCACAGTCGATTCAGGTCGAACCACTGGGGGGACGTGTTCTCCAAGGGTGGCGGATGGCAGTGGGCTCCAGCGCCTGCTGGTGGGGGGCTTCAGCCCAGCGAACATCTGGGCCCCAGCTGCCAGAGCCGGACCATCCTCGGGCCGGCAGCTGGCTGGGGGCCGGTGGCCCCGCAGCCTGTGTCCCACCCACAGTGGCCTACAGGAATGTCACTCCTTCCCTTGGGGTCACAGGGCGTCACAGGGAAGGAAGGCGTTTGCGGCAGCCTCTGGGACATGGGTGGTCTCTGGTCTCAAGACTGCCTGGTGCCCGCCGTACCCTGCCGGGATGCTGGAGTGTTACCTGCCTGCCCGGGCGCCCAGGGTGGCTGGCGGGGAAGCCTCCCTGGTGAGACTGTGCCATGGGTGCCGGCGGTGGTCAGGGCTCTTCAACGTCCACGTGGGACAGAGCGTGGGACACAGCTTACGGGGAGCCGCAGAGTGGCCCTAGAGACTCGGGGTCTGCGCAGAGCAGGGGAGAGCAGCGTTCAGGTTCTCGCTCTGCCTCTTAGCATCTGGCACGTCACGGCCTGAGCCTCCGTTTGCCCATCTGTGAAATGGGGAGAATTACCGTCCCTCCTGCCCCAGCAGTGGGTTCCGGTGAGATGTGAGCTCATTGCTTGGTCGGAGGCGACAGAGGAAGCTGGGGCTGGAGGCCATGGCCGTCCTCTAGGGAGCTCGGTCTGCCGCTCGGGACGGGGCTGACGGCCCACGGGGCCGGGCTCAGTGCAGCATGGCCCCTAGAGCACCCCTTGTTCCTGCCCCATCCCAGCTGGGCCCTGACCTGCGGGAGGGTGGGTGAGGTGGGACACGAGGCAGGGCTGCCCTCCAGGGCATCGGCTCTCAGGGGACTTGAGATGCGTTGGGGGCTGTGAGGAGACATAGTCAAGAGAAGGGCATGAGGCGCCTCTCGCCCGCGGCCCTGTGAGCTGGCCCCCCTCAGCGTGGGACGGGAACTTCTCTCTGGTCCCTCTCGGCCCCCGCGGGGCACCTCATGGGCAGAAGCCTGCAGAGGCAGCCTCGCCGACTCACCGTGACTCACTGGCGGCCTTGGCAACCTCTCTGTGCCTCAGTTCCTCCCTCTGTGAAATGGGCTAGACTGCAGAGTGCAGTGGGTTATAGGTCAACAGCTCAGAACGGGTTCTGTTACAGTTGTCCCGGGCACATAGTAAGTGCTCAATAAAGCTCCAAAATTGAGCCGTAGCCTCGGACTCACTGGGATGCGGGGCTGCCCAGTGATTAACCCTTTTCTGCCGGCGCCCTCTCTGCTCCGGACCCCTCCTGGCTCTCTCCCAGGTGCAAGTGTCATGGGCACGCCAGCGAGTGTGGTCCCGACGCGGCGGGCCAGCTGGTCTGCCGATGCCAGCACAACACCACGGGCACGGACTGCGAGCGCTGCCTGCCCTTCTTCCAGGACCGCCCGTGGGCGCGGGGCACAGCCGAGGCGGCCAACGAGTGTGTGTGTGAGTACCGGGGCTCTGGGGCCAGGCTGTGGGCGGGGAACAAACCCCCAAGACCCTGCAGTGGGGCTGCTCCTGGGTGGGCCTGGGGGCAGCTGGGATCTGAGCCATGCCATGCCGCTGCAGGGGTGAGGAGGCGCCGAGGGGAGGCAGGAGGTGGGCCTGGGGCAGCTGGGATCTGAGCCCATGCCGCTGCAGGGGTGAGGAGGCGTCGAGGGGAGGCAGGAGGTGGCACTGAGTCCTCGGTCCTTCCCCCACAGGCAGCTCCCCCAGAACAAGTCCCCCACCATGGAGGTGTTTGTTGTGGGAGGGCTGGGAAGGTCCCCCAACTTGTTCCTTTGTTTCAGCTGCTCCAACCACAGCTGTTAATGAAAGCCAGGCCACCCCAGGTCCTAGGGGGTGCTGGCCTGCCCACCCAGACTGTCCCACAGGCCCAGGCAGCACTTTCATGTCCCAGACCCTGTGATGTGGCTGTGACCACACTCTGGAGAGGATGGCGCTGTCATACCTTCCCCAGGGACGTGGGACTGCACACGGGGCGAGCAGCCTGGTGTTCCGCCTGCCCCCCCAAGCCCTGTCTCCCCAGATGGTCGTCTGGTGTGTTTCAGGCACCCCGTGCGTAGCCGGCGTCACCAGCACCAGATCCCAGCTGGTAGCGCCATCGCTGGCCAGAGCATCTTCATGCAGGCTCGGCCTCTGGGCCCTCGGTCCTCTTGGGCTGGGGCAGGGAGGGGACAGCCTGTTCCGTGGGACGGGTGCTGTCTGCGGGCGCTGCCCGGGGCTGCTGTGACCCTAATGGGTTCCTGCTGCCCTCGCTGGCCTGCCTCCACCCGAGTCTCTCAGGGCAAGGAGGCTGTGCGGGCTGGCTCACCCGTTCCGGGCCTGGAGCCACCTCCTCGGGCGCACGCGAAAGGCCAGACTGCTTCTCTTGCCACGTCCTCAGCCCTGTGGTCACATCTTTGTCCTCTCAGTCACCAGCCTGATAGCGGGGGCTTCATGCCCGACTCCTCACCACCCCCAGCCCCAGAGACCCCAAGCCTTGTCTTCGTCCCTCAAGTCATCTGTGCCCTTCTCCGCAAGCAGTGCCCCTCCCCCTCCCTGGGCACTGCCCCCCTCTGCCTGCAGCCCTGGTGCTTTCCACAGTGCAGCTGGCTTTCACCCCGTCCGCCCCCACAGCCCCTCGCTCTGAGGCCAAGTCCTCGGCCCGCATCCCTGACCAAGCTCTGCCGACTCAGCCTCATAGCTGCCCCTGCACCCCTCCATGTCCTGCCCAGTGTCCCCGCCCTCTTCCCTGCCCCATGCCCGCCCCCTGCACACGGGGCCAGTCTTGCTTCTCTGCTGCCCACAGTTTGTCCTCTGCTCTCACCTGCTGCTTGGGACTCCCCCCACCCCCTTTGCTGCCAGCTCCTTCCTGCTCCCCCTCCGATGTCCCTGTAGCTGTGATTCCCTCCCAGAAGGCTTGCCCCATCCCCCCAGGACAGCTGTAGGGTCCTCCTTTCAGCTCCCAGAGCCCCCCACCTGCGGAATTTCTGCAGGCCTGCTGTGCCTGGCCCCTGTCAGACGGTGGGCAACACGCGTGCGGAGCTGGGACTGTGCTGTGCACTGGTGTCCCCCCCCTACCCCGACTCACCACAGGAGGAAAGACAGAGCCCAGCCTTAGTACACAGGTTTTTATAAGTGAACTACTGAGTGAATGAAGGGTGACTTGTATTTTCCATGCTTCTGAGTTACCCCATGATCAGTGGGGACCAGATTCACACAGAGCCACCAGAGACCCTGGAGTGAACTGCCACTCCAGAGGTGGCCTGGCCTGTCTGTGATTCATGACCAGGTGACTACATCCTGGATTGCCTCACAGGGTCCTGTGTTTTGGTATATTTATTAACGGCGCCCTCTCTGTTCATAAGAGTGTCCTAGTTTGGAAGGTCAAATCCGTTGGTCTCCATATCCTTGATCAAGCTAGGCCTGAACTCCATCTCGGACCCTCCTCGAGCTGCCTGCTCATTCAGCACGAGGAGACTGATTGGCACGGACTCGCCTCCTACCGCGCGCCCCGGCCCTGACCCCCCCGCCCCCTGCCCACAGCTTGCAACTGCAGCGGCCGCTCCGAGCAGTGCGTGTTCGATCGGGAGCTCTTCCGCGGCACCGGCCACGGCGGGCGCTGCCTCCACTGCCGTGACCACACGGCGGGGCCGCACTGCCAGCACTGCCGGGAGAACTTCTTCCGCTGGGACCCGCGGGCGCCCTGCCAGCCCTGCGACTGCCACCGGGCAGGTGAGTGGGCCCTGCTGCCCCGCCCCCGGCCTGCCCCGCGCTGGCCTCTGCTGCCCTGTGCCCTTCCTCCCCCAGGCTCGCTGCGCCTCCAGTGTGACGGCTCGGGCACCTGCACCTGCAGGGACACTGTGACGGGCTGGAAGTGTGACCGCTGCCTGCCCGGCTTCCACTCGCTCAGCGAGGGAGGCTGCAGGTGAGGGAGGCAGCCGGTGGGTGGACGGCCCAGCAGGGGCCGTGAGGGAGCTGTGGACTGAATGGAGGCTTGGATGGACAGATGCACGGATGCGCGAGTGAATGGATGGGGGTGGGTGGGCGGGTGGATGGATGAGAAAGCAGACAGATGGAGGGAGGGATGCACAGATGGACGAGTGAGTGGATGGGTGGATGGGTGGGTGGGTGGGTAGGCAGATGGACGGCTATTTGGGTGAGTGAGTGGGTCATTTCTTTGGCAAGGTGGGAACAATAAAGCCCGGGGGTGCAGGCTCTTGGGTCGGTCTGCCTCCCGGTCCTCTCAGGAATGGGGAAGGATGGAGAGATTCCTCCCAAGGAAGATGGGCTAGTCGTGTTCGGGAGTTGCCCGTTGGACACCTTTCCCCTGGTCCTGTCTCTCTGGCAGACCCTGCTCCTGCAACCCCGCTGGCAGCCTGGGCACCTGTGACCCCCACAGTGGGCGCTGCCCCTGCAAAGAGAATGTGGAAGGCAGCTGGTGTGACAGGTAGGGGGGCCGATGGGATAACAGGCCCGTTAGAAGTGACCTGGGGCGTGGGGGGCGCGGGGGCGCGGTCCTCACAGACTTACGCAACCCGCCACCTGGAACCCCTCCTGGAGCACCAGGATCTGCCGACTAGGAAGTTATCTGAAGGTTTTATTACCCTGTTTATGCCGTGACCCATCTCCATGGGTGGCTCAGAAACCTTGAAAGTACATCTGCTTTTCCCAGCCCATAATCCTCAAAAGAGAGAGCTGGCAAGGGGAGGAGAGATCATCTAATCCAGGGACAGCGAACAAGTGATGCTCATATCACAGCCCTCATCTCACACCCGGGCAGACGTGACCGTGGAGCACCCCACAGCCCCCCATCTCACACCCGGGATAGACGTCACCCGTGGAGCGCCCCACAGCCCCCCCATCTCACACCCGGGGCAGACCTCACCCGTGGAGCTCCCTACAGCCCCCCCACTCACACCCGGGGCAGACGTCAGCCGTGGAGCACCCCACAGCCCCCCATCTCACACCCGGGGCAGACCTCACCCGTGGAGCTCCCTACAGCCCCCCCACTCACACCCGGGGCAGACCTCACCCGTGGAGCACCCCACAGCCCCCATCTCACACCTGGGGCAGACGTCACCCGTGGAGCGCCCCACAGCCCCCATCTCACACCCAGGGCAGACGTCACCCGTGGAGCACCCCACAGCGAACACGTGATGCTCATATCACAGCCCCCACTCACACCCGGGGCAGACGTCACCCGTGGAGCACCCCACAGCCCCCCCATCTCACACCCGGGGCAGACGTCACCCGTGGAGCACCCCACAGCCGCCATCTCACACCCGGGGCAGACGTCACCCGTGGAGCACCCCACAGCCCCCATCTCACACCCGGGGCAGACGTCACCCGTGGAGCACCCCACAGCCCCCCCATCTCACACCGGGGCAGACGTCACCCGTGGAGTACCCCACAGCCCCCCATCTCACACCCGGGGCAGAGATCACCCGTGGAGCACCCCACAGCCCCCATCTCACACCCGGGGCAGACATCACCCGTGGAGCACCCCACAGCCCCCCATCTCACACCCGGGCAGACGTCAGCCGTGGAGCACCCCACAGCCCCCCATCTCACACCCGGGGCAGACATCACCCGTGGAGCACCCCACAGCCCCCATCTCACACCCGGGCAGACGTCAGCCGTGGAGCACCCCACAGCCCCCCATCTCACACCCGGGGCAGAGATCACCCGTGGAGCACCCCACAGCCCCCATCTCACACCCGGGCAGACGTCACCCGTGGAGCACCCCACAGTCTCCCATCTCACACCCGGGGCAGAGATCACCCGTGGAGCACCCCACAGCCCCCCATCTCACACCCGGGGCAGAGATCACCCGTGGAGCGCCCCACAGCCCCTATCTCACACCCGGGGCAGACCTCACCCGTGGAGCGCCCCACAGCCCCCATCTCACACCCGGGCAGACGTCACCCGTGGAGCACCCCACAGCCCCCCATCTCACACCCGGGGCAGACCTCACCCGTGGAGCACCCCACAGCCCCCATCTCACACCCGGGGCAGACCTCACCCGTGGAGCACCCCACAGCCCCCATCTCACACCCGGGGCAGACCTCACCCGTGGAGCACCCCACAGCCCCCATCTCACACCCGGGGCAGACCTCACCCGTGGAGCACCCCACAGCCCCCATCTCACACCCGGGGCAGACCTCACCCGTGGAGCACCCCACAGCCCCCCATCTCACACCCGGGGCAGAGATCACCCGTGGAGCGCCCCACAGCCCCCATCTCACACCCGGGGCAGACATCACCCGTGGAGCGCCCCACAGCCCCCATCTCACACCCGGGCAGACGTCACCCGTGGAGCACCCCACAGCCCCCATCTCACACCCGGGGCAGACGTCACCCGTGGAGCACCCCACAGCCCCCATCTCACACCCGGGGCAGACCTCACCCGTGGAGCGCCCCACAGCCCCCATCTCACACCCGGGGCAGACCTCACCCGTGGAGCACCCCACAGCCCCCATCTCACACCCGGGCAGACGTCACCCGTGGAGCGCCCCACAGCCCCCATCTCACACCCGGGCAGACGTCACCCGTGGAGCACCCCACAGCCCCCCATCTCACACCCGGGGCAGACCTCACCCGTGGAGCACCCCACAGCCCCCCATCTCACACCCGGGGCAGACCTCACCCGTGGAGCGCCCCACAGCCCCCCCATCTCACACCCGGGGCAGACCTCACCCGTGGAGCGCCCCACAGCCCCCATCTCACACCCGGGGACACATCCCGGCACAGTTGTCCCTCTCATGGGCGCTGCCATGACTTCAGAGTGCTTCCCTGTGTCCTGCTGCCCGAAGCTCCTGCTAAGCTGAGTCTCTCTGTCATCCCTGGTATGAATGGAGCGTCTAAAGCTCAACCAGGCAGAAGGACTTTCCAACGTTTTCTCCTTCCTGTCCGGGGCCTCCAAGCCCCAGCAGGGGGCTGGCCGGCAGATGTGGTTTTCCTCCCTGGGCTCACACTGTGTCCTCTTCCTGCTCTGTCTCTGGCCTCTGATGCCCTGTGCAGCCAGCGAGGGGCTGGCCAGCCCTGCGTGGGAGGTACCTGACACAGCCTGCACTGTGGACGGTCGGTCCACGCGGGGCCTGCCCTGGCTCCAGAAGAAGCCAATGCCCTGTGGCTGGCCCTGGCTTTGACTCCCACCACGGCCAGCCTCAGGACGCCCCACACCTTATCCACACCTGGGAACTGGACCCCTGCTTCGTCTTCCTCCCCCTGAGACCCCGGCAAGTGAGGAGACAGAGTGGAGCCAGGGACCAGCTCCCACCGGTTCCCCGGCTCTGCCCACCACCTCGCGCCTTGAGCAGCCCCTCCCTCCACGCCCAGCTCCCACCTGTGAGACCAGGCCTGACGGCCTGACGGGGACGTGTGCCTCGGGGCCTGCGGGGCACTGGGTCAGCACTTCCTTAGGACTCCCATTCCGCTGCCTGGGTGGTTCGAACGGAGCCCGGCTGCGGACCAGAACCTGTGTGTGCGAACCCCTCTCCAGGGCTCCCTGGAGCAATGGCTGGTTCTGGGCCAGGGTGGAAAGTGCAGGATGGACCTGGAGTGTCTTGTGGCTCCAGAAAACCAGGATGTGCTTAAAAACAAAAACAAACCCCAAACCCAGGATGGGGGCCTGTGTCAAGGGGACACGGGAGTCCCCTTGAAAGTGCTCCCTAAGCTGGAGCAACTTGAACAAAATAAATAACGACAGCACTGGACTATAACCCAAAGAATAAATAAATATCCACAGTCCACGCGGTGTAACGAGATGAGTGAGTAAATAGATACGCAGGGAAAACCCAGGAAATTCTTGCAGCAGAATTCCAAGTGCTAAACAGAGAAGGAGTAAGGGAAATACAGAATCGTCGTTAGAATTTCAGTCAATTTGCCGTGGGCAGGAGCTGCTGCTGAATTAGTGGGTGGAACTGTAAGGAGAGATAGGACGTTTGCGTTGTCCCAAAACATCAACATCTCCCTCAAAATATGTACTAAGTACCGTGGTGGTTTTGGAAGTGTCCACAGTTTTGATTCGCCCCCGTCCCCCAGGAGGTGGAGCGTAATTCCCCTTGACCAGACACGGACTAGATTTAGTGACTTGCTTCCAAGGACGAGGACCACCTGCCGTGGAGAAACCTGTCTGGCAGCACCGGAACCGAGGTGCTAGCGTGACCAGTGACGTCATTTATCCAGATGTGTTGGGACGAGAAAGTCATTTCATTTCTGTTTCTTCTCCAAACCCATCACCCCAGTCTGATCATGGAAAAACATCAGACAAGTCCAAATCGAGGGACAGTCTACAAACTATACCTGGCCAGTCAAGAAGCTGTTACAGCCGGGGGTGGGGGCAGGGGGGTGAAGGATGGGACTGAAGGCAAGGCTGTGTCCTGGACGGAATGCTGGAGCAGAAGGACATCAGCGGGAAAGGGGGGGGGGTCCTAATAAAGTCTGGGGGTCAGTAAGTGACGTGCAGCAATGTGAATTTCTTGAGTCTGATCGATGCCCCACGGTAGGGGCAGGTGTTAACATTAGGGGACGCTGGGTGGAGAGACTGTGAGACTCTGTACTAGCTTTGCAACTCTTCTGTAAGTCTGGAAAACATTTTTTACATATCCCCGGTGATCTGGACTTGCATTGGTGCAGCTGGGACCCCCTGAACCCAGCCGAGTAATTTGGGCATGCCCTGCTTCCATTTCAGATGTCGCCCAGGGACCTTTAACCTGCAGCCCCACAACCCGGCCGGCTGCAGCAGCTGCTTCTGCTACGGCCACTCCAAGGTGTGTGCAGCCGCTGCCCGGTTCCGAGTGCACCACATCCTCTCCGACTTCCGCCGGGGTAAGAGGAGCCCCGGCAGCCGCCTCTGAGGGGTCTCTCCCAGCCCGGGGGGGGCAGCCATCTGCTCTGGGGAATCCTGCAGAGGTGGGAGGGCAGAAGGGGGAAGGAAGGGCAGCCTCAGGCCCCAGCCCAGGCGCTTCCCACAGGCACCCACGGCCAGCCATGCAAGATGGGTCCCTCTGTGCCCACCAAAGCTGCCAGTACCCCCGGCACCCCGCGGCTCCCTCCGGCCTCGTCCTTCCTCAGCCTCCTGTCAGACTCCTGGGCAGGGTATAAGATAGTCTGGATTCTGCAGGGGAATTGATCACTCAAGGTCAAGATTGGCCTTCCTTGGGGTATCCCAGTGCTGGGGATTTAAGCTCAATCTCCTAGCCTCCGTTACTGGGCACCTGCCGTGTGCCAGGCCCTGCGCTCCTTGTACGCGGGAGCCGCACGGGTTCCCCCGCAGGTGTGTGCTCGCTCATTTTGTAGAGCTCGGGAAGACAGGTCACATAACTTCGTTGTCGGCACCAGGGTTTGCCAGCATCTGAGCTTTTCTCTCAACTGCTCTGCAGGTTGTTTCTCTGGGTCCAGGGTCCAGAGTCCAGGGGTGCTGTGGTGCCCTGGGTCCCCAACTCCAGGTGGCACAGGTGTATCTTTGGAACAGGAAAGCGGTAGAGTCCTGAATTCAGCCTGCGTGGACCCCTGCCATGCCCCGCAGGGTCCCCGCACCCCACATCTGCCCCAGGGAGGAGGGGAGTGTCAGCCTGGGAGAGAAACTCCCACACTGGCTCTGGGGCGCCCCAGACGTGGGGGCAGTGCGCCCCCTGCTGGACGCCGCACAGAAAGCAGGACAGAGAGGGGCTTGGGATGGAGAGGGTTGCGGTCACCGGCACAGGAGTCAAGGATGTTGGCATCTGTCAGGACTCAGTTTATAGATCCTGAGAACAATATTATCATCTGTTCTCACTTTGAGCGAGGCCCTGGGTTCATCTGATACTGTCTCACAATCACCCTTGAACAGAAGTTCTCAAGCTTTTTGATTTTCAAATTCCTTTACGACTTTGAAAATTATTGAGGCCCTCAAAGTGCTTTTATTTTTGTTTTTAAAAAATGTTTATTAGTTCTAGAGAGAGAGGAAGGGAGAAGGAGAGAGAGAGAGAGAGACACATCGATGAGAGAGAACATTGATTGGCCGCCTCCTGCATGCCCCCCACTGGGGATCAGGCCCACAACCGGGGCATGTGCCCTGACCGGGAATCGAACCGGCGACCTCTTAGTGCAGGGGTCGACGCTCAACCACTGAGCCACACCAGCCAGGCTCCAAGTGCTTTTATTTATGTGGGTTGTTGATGTGGATATTTTCTGTATTAGACGTGAAAACAGTAACTTGAAATATCTTTGTTAAAACAACTATAGTAAACTTACAATAAAAAGTGACCCCCACCTGTGAGAAGTAACTCTTTAAGAGACTTGCATTTTGGGAGGTGTGCAGCCGGCCCGTTCCACAGGTGTGCACGTCTGCACGTCTCCCTGAAGTCCGGCTGCATAGACGCCGGCGGATTCTCGCCACATTTCGTCTGCGGTGACCTCACACTGCTTGTAGCTTCTAGAAAGGTCCACTTGTGCAAGAGGGGGGGTGAAAAATACAAGAGACATCTTCGTGTTAGAAGAAGACAGTGACCTCATGACCCCGCTCCGAGTCCCAGGGCTCTCCCAGGGTGTTCAGACAAACGGAACTGCCGCGGGACCATGAGCACTTCATTGTCCCCAGTTTGCAGAGGAGGAATCAGCTTCAGAGAGGTTAAGTGACTTGCCCAGGGACACACAGCCAGGGAGGGGCAGAGCCGAGTCTAGCACGGAGGTGCCTGGGGCCCCCCTTTCCTGACTTCTTTCCCTTCCATTTAAAAAAAAAAAAATTTTTCCCTTTATTGATTTTTAGAGAGAGAAGAAGTGAGAGGGAGAGAGAGATGGAAACATCGATTGGCCGCCTCCCCCAAGCCCCCCCACTGGGGATTGGGCCCACAACCTGGGCACGTGCCCTGACTGGGAATCGAACCAGCGACCTTTTAGTGCAGGGTCGACGCTCAACCACTGAGCCACACCGGCCGGGCTTCCTTCCCTTCCTTCATCCTCCCCTCTTCACCTCTCAGCTGCCCAGGTGTTGGGCCTCCAGCCATCCCCCGTCTACCCCTTGGGGTCACTTGCTCTGGGCTAGACTATGCTCAGTGTGATGGCTACACTGCCGTCATCAGAGTGAGTGTGGACTGAACTGGGACTGGAGACCAGAGGGCCCGGGTTTCTTCCTGGCTTGACCACCTCCTAACCAGGCAGCCTCCCTGGGTGAAGTGGGCTAATGAATGACACATGCCTTTCAAAGGGCAGGGGCGGTGAGGGCACGTATGAGGGCATTCTCTGAAGTCCGGTGTTGTTAGAAACGGCCCTGATGTCCCAAGGCCCCACGTTGGGGTCTCCGGGCTGCGTTTTCATGGTGCTCAAAGCCCCCTGAGGGGCAGCACAGGCCCAGAGGTCTGACCACACCCCAAACATAGCCAGGTTCCCGAGCTTTCTAGCTTCTCCTGGGGCTACCCCCACCCTAAGACTGCACCCTGGTTCTGGGATGGGGATCGGAGCTGGCCGGCTGCTGGCTTCAGCCAGCTCTCATCCCGACATGGCCTGTGTCTAGAACTGTCCCCTCCCTGGGCCCCGTTGCTTCAGGCTGTGCTCGGGCCTCTGGGCACCATCCTTTGGACCCGGGAGAGAGGTGAGGTTGGGGTGAGTGGAGGCCACCTTCCAGGGTCTCACAGGAGCCTGTGTGTGTGTGCTGTCCAGGGGCAGACGGCTGGCAGGCCAGTGGCGTGGGGGACCCGGAGCAGCCTGCACGGTGGAGCCCACGTGGGCTCCTCCTGAACCCAGAAGACGAGGAGGAGCTCACAGCCCCAGGTACCTCCAGCCTCACGCAGGGCAGGGCTGCTTCATGTGTGCCTCCTGTCGCTGCTCCGACAAGTCACCCACTTAGGGGCTGAAAACAACACAGATGTGTTTTCTTGGTGTTCTGGAGGTCGAGTCTGGGGCGGGTCTCGCTGGGCTGAAAGCAAGGCGTGGGCAGAGGGGCGTTCCCCAGAGGCTCCTGGGGAGACCCCTGCCCTTGCCTTTCCGGCTTCCGGAGCCCCTGCGTTCCTTGGCTCGTGGCCCTGCCTCCGTCTTCGAGCTGGTCCCGGCTTTCTCTTTCTCATCACTCGGACCCCACCTGTCTGCCTTCCTCTGACCTCTAGAGAGAGGATAGTCCGTATTAATCTCTCTACTCCAAGGTCAGCTGATAAACAACCTGATTTCCCCTTCAACCTTAATCAGCCCCGTCATGCTCCATCACATTCACGGGGGCTAGGGGTTAGAACCCGGACACCCTTGGGGGTCATGTTTCTGCTGGCCACGCCCTGCTTCCTGGCCACGGCACTGCCCCCAGGCTCCTTCAGGCCACTGTCGCAGCCCAGACGGTCCTGTGCTCTTCCCATCAGCCCCTCGCCCCACCGGGCACTGCGCCCCATGCCCAGAGCCATGGATTCCTGCAGAAGCAAGAAATGCCAGGTTATTCTGATCCACAGCCCCATCAGTTAGGGCCATTCTGGTCTCCTGGAAACCACCAGCCCTCGAACCCGGAGTCTGGAGTCCATTCTCAGCTCCCCTCGGGGCGACTCGGGGTCCACTGGCTCCCTGACCTAGTCCTGGCCCTTCCCTCCCTCTCCAAGAGGAGCCAGGGCTGATGGACAGACATCTGAGGAGCTGTGTGGACACAGCACCCAAGGGCCCTGCGGCCAGAAAGCCAAGGACGTGGGTCCCTGGGTCCCTCGTGGGGCAGGTGCTCCAAGCTCAGCAGCCCACGAACAGAAACCACGCTCTGTTCCAAGGCTGCTTTGTCCACACACTTAAGAAAAAGGAGCTACTCACTTGAGAAGTGTTTGCTGGCTCTACCGGGGGCTGGGCACACCGGGGGGCGAGCTCCTGGTCTATTTCCTCTGGGCACGCACTCTAGCAACTGCTCTACCTGGTTCTCACGAGTCCAGAAGGACGAGAGGAGGAGGAACCTTGTTCCCTCTCCCTCCATGATCCCAGCGTTGGCTCAGCCAGGGAACTAGCCCAGGGAACAGAGGCGATGCGGGGCTCCGGCCTTGTGTCCTGGGACACCACTGCCTCCTTCCCGCTGGAAGCCAGGCCTGACCCCCATGGGGAGCATGGCCCTCTGCTCAGCCCCATGGGGCACGCCCCCAGTCCTCGCGGAGCCTCACTCTGCCACACGCACGTGGGTCCAGGCGGGCTCCGCCCTGGCGGGTGGCCGCCTCTGCCGTGTATCTCTGCCCCGACACTGTGCCGTCGGCCTCATCTGCAGGACCCCAGTTCAGACATAAAAGCATTAAGAATGTCCAGGGCGGCCGCAGGGGTGTGGGTGAGCCCCCCGGGCGCCTTCTGTGCACAGGCCTGGGGTTCCCTACCTGCTGTCGTTTTATGTCATTTGGATGTTTCACTGACACATTTTAAGTCAGGCTCATGGAGAGAAGCCTGTCCAAGCCTTCTTCTCTCGTCTTCAGAGAAGTTCCTGGGTGACCAGCGGTTCAGCTACGGGCAGCCCCTCACACTGACCTTCCAGGTCCCCCCCGGGGGCTCCCCCGGTCCCGTGCAGCTGAGGCTGGAAGGGGCCGGCCTGGCCCTGACTCTGCCGTACTCCCGCCTGTCGGGGCCCCGGGACACCGGGCAGCCAGGAGCAGTACAGCTCGAGTTCCAGTAAGTGTCCTGCTCTGTCCCGAGAGCTGGGGTTGGGCCCTCAGGTGGCCCCTGGGGTCCAGGCACACTGGGATGCCCCGGTGGCCCCCCTCAGGCTCCGCCCTCCCCCCCCAGGCTGCAGGAGACCTCGGAGGACGTGGACGCCCCGCTGCCCGCCTTCCACTTCCAGCGGCTGCTCGCCAACGTGGCCGCTCTGCGCATCCGGACCGGCCCGAGCCCTCCTGGTCAGTGGCGATGCGGGTGCCCCAGGAGCAGCTGGGCCCAGCCGTGCTCCTTGAGTCCCCATTTTACTGCGAAGGAACCTGAGGCCCAGAGAGGTTATGGGCGCTCGCCCAAAGCTGTATAACCAGTAGGGCAGGGGTGGATGCTGGGGACAGGCAGGGCCTGGAGGAGTGACGAGTGACGAGTGACGATGGGCAGCTCTCAGCCACAGGGGTGTGGCCAGTGAAACGGCCGGGAACCACTGCTGCCGTCATGCGGCAGCGTCACCACTGCGAGGAGCCCCTTGTGACAAAATCCCCAGATTTGCCTCTAGGGCTGATTGGCTCCTTTTTTTTTTAATCCTCACCGGAGGACATTCTTCCATGTATCTTCAGATAGAGCAGCAGGGAGAGAGGGAGGAAGAGAGAGAGAAACATCGATGTGAGAGAGACACTTCGAGTGGAGTTGTTGCCACCCACACGACCCCAACCAGGGCCGGGGACAAACTGCAACCGAGGTGCGTGCCCTTAGCGGGAACCGAACCCGGGTCTCTCCGGTCCGTGGGCCGACGCTCTAACCGCTGAGCCAAACCGGCCAGGGCCTGATTCGCTCCTTTTAAGAACCTCTGGCTTAGATGGCCAGCCTTCCCTGCGGCCTCTTTCAGCCCGAGGCTTGGGTATAACCCAGCCTGTTCCAGTTCCTTCTCTCTGCAGCTGTGGTTGAATTGCCTTCACCCCACGTCCCCCAGGTCACCACGAGGCCCCCTAGCTGAGGCTCCTGGAAGGAATTTCATTTTCACCTTTTCCGGCAGCTTCCAGCACCTCCCTGTCATCCACTCAACCTTCAGTGACCAGATGTTTACAGGGCGCCCACCCTTGCCAGCCTGTGCTGGGTGCTGGGGTGAGCTGGAGAGGCTGGTGGACATGCTGACCCTCCATCTCGCCTGTCCTGAGCTTTCTCTTCCCACCGATCACATTCTGGGGCACCTCTCTCCAGGCTTTCTGTGTACATGACTGGGTTTTTAAATACAGAAAGGCCATCACACAGGACAGCATTCTGCACCTGGCTGTGTTTCACTCACGCTGCGTCTTGGAGGTTGATACTTGTCGTTACACGTGGGAACGCCTGCCTCTCTGTACCCACCGTGGTCCAGTCTGGGGTCTAGACACTCCATGGAAGTTTTTTTTTTTTAAATGTTTTTTTTTTTTTTAATTGATTTTAGAGAGAGAGGAAGGGAGCGGGAGAGAGAGAGAGAAACATCGATGAGAGAGAACATCGACTGGCTGCCTCCTGCACGCCCCCCACTGGGGATCGGGCCCACAACCTGGGCATGTGCCCTGCCCAGGAATCGAACCAGCGACCTCTTGGTACATGGGTTGATGCTCAACCACTGAGCCACAGCGGCCGGGCTCCATGGAGTTTTAAGCAGCGCTGTTTGTGGACGAGGGGTGGTTCTCCACCATGTCAGACAGGGGTGCAGGGCTAGGGAAGAGCTTCCCATCAAGGCTCTTTGTGCCCCGCCCTGGCTGGTTTGGCTCCGTGTTAGAGCGTCGGCCCGCGGACCAATGAGTTGTGGGTTCGATTCCGGTCAGGGCGCGTACCTCAGTTACAGTTCGTCCTCGGCCCTGGTCAGGTCATGTGACATGGAGGCACCCAGTCGATGTGGCTCTATCACATCGATGCTTCTCTGTGTTTCTCTCTCTCTCCTTCCCTCCCACTCTATCTGATGACAAATGGAAAAATATCCTCAGGTGAGGAATTAGAAAAAATAAAAGGCTTTATGTCCTGGCACAAGCGTGTCACCAGGACAGGTTCCTTGAAGCGCAAACATCAGGTGAAGGAGGACGCATATTACATGTGGGTACGTGCTGCCACGTTGTCTGTCCACAGGGCTGTGCCCATTCACGTTCCGATGACAGCGTCCTGTGCTCTGCCCGCCATGGGTTCCCCCAGTGCTCACCCTGTGGGTCTGGGCTGTTTCACCAGCCACACACCTGTCGCTGAGAGCTGTCTGGAGTTCTGAGTTGTTTTCTGCAGGAAGGCTGGTCTGATAGGAGCTCCTCTGGTGCTAGAAGCAGAACCTCCTGATTTATGTTCATATGCGTATGTGCGTGTGCCCCCATGGCCCGTTCTTCACTACCGTGATTTTTTAAATGTTTACCGATCGAGGGTCGTGAGTGCATCATCGCTGTTTAATCTGCACACATCTTCCATAGCCCCCGAGAGAGAGCGTCTCCCCAGAACATTTCCAGTTGTGTCTATTTCTTGTCCTGAAAATTGCCTAATTTTCCTTTGCTCTTTATTTGACAATTTTTAAAAACTGATCATTGACCCATGGTCTGTCTCTATAGACATGAGCCAGTAATCCTCAGCCTGTCACATATGTGAACAGAAAGGGTTGGGGCAGAAACGTGTGGATCTGTCTGTCTGTCTGTCTCTCTCCTCGCCCCCAGGCCAAGTGTTCCTGACTGAGGTCCGGCTCACGTCGGCCAGGCGGGGACTTTCCCCCACAGCCTCCTGGGTGGAGACTTGCTCATGTCCCAAGGGATATGCGGGCCAGTTCTGTGAGTCCTGTGCTCCGGGATACAAGAGGGAGACGCCCCTGGGGGGGCCCTACACCAGCTGCGTCCCCTGCACCTGTAATCAGCATGGCACCTGTGACCCTGACACAGGTGAGTCTCCCAGCACCCCATTGTCAGGCTACCTGGCTACACCCAGAACAGGGTCAGCCGTGTGCATGTCTGAGCGATCACTGAAAACAATGCCAGGGGAGTGGAGTCACGTGTTCCTCCACGTGCCAGGCACCTGGTTATCCCCTACGTCACTGAGTCCTGTAAAAATCCCGGTGCCAGGACCGTTGCCGGCCTTCTTCCCGGAGAGGGGCCTGACGCGCAGGGAGGCCACACGGCCAGTAGATGGCAGAGCTGCTCCTCCCACAGCTCGGCGCCTGCTGCTCATCCCCACTGCCTGGAGGAAACCTAGGAGGACCTCCCCGAGGTCCCTGGGCAGGAGGTACTGGGCGGGGCTGGCCACAGGTCACCGGAGGCTCAGTGCTCTCCTGGGGGAGCAGGTGGGGTGTCTGAGAAGGGAAGCGCTTGACCTCAGGCTCCAGCTGGAGCTGACAGAGGACAGTCGCCAAGAATCAGCAGACCGGCCGGGGAGGACAACTTGCCCTTCGTGTGCCCGTAGCAGGCATCACTAGTCGAGCCCAGATCGGGCTCATGACCCTTCCGTGCAATGCCCCAGGCAGCCCCTACTGAGGAAGCAGAGTCGGCTCATGAGATGGGACCAACCTGCCATCCCTCAGGGCCCTGGCCCTGCCACAACTTCCTGCCCAGCAAGTCCTCATCTGTCCAGTGCCAGGGCGGCCACTGCTACGCACCCTGCACAGAAGGAGGAGTAACGAGCGTGTGGGTGCTGGGCCAAGACAGGGGCTGGTTCTCCTTGGATGCCACCCTTGCTCTGTTGTTGCCCCTCCCACCCCATCCGGTCCCCTCGCTTTGCCCTGGTCACCTCAGCCCGGCTCTGCAGTGGCAGCCTTGGCAACCAGCTCCTCACCCAGTCCCTGGCAGGGGCCTCCACCCTCGGGGCCCCCCCGAGAGCGGACTAGGTGCTGGGGGGCTGGAGAAGCGGTTTGCAGAGCCCCCATCACTAGAAACCCGAGGGCAGGGAGCCTCTGAGAACCCACAGGCCCTGTAATTGGAGCCTCGTGTCGTGACCACTGTCCTGGGCCCGTGTCGCTGTCCCGCTGGCCCTGCCGTGAGGAGCCCATGGAGGAAGGGAAAGGGAGGCTGAGCGGAACCATTAGCTGGGCCGTTGGTTGGTTTGGTCAGAGGTTTGGGACAGAAATGAGGACGATGGCAGCGATGGTGGTCCCGTGTGCCAGGGACTGTGCGGGGCACTGTGGCCGCATTGGAAACCTTTGAGGTCACAGCCCAGTGGAGGCTGTCGTACCCATTTTGCAGGTGAGGACACTGAGGTGTGGGTGATAGATGGTCTGCCCAGGCTCACACAGTGGACACGAACCCAGGGTGGACTCTTCATCCCCGGACCATGCTGCCTCCACCCTGGAAGGGCTCCCTTCCGTGCTGCCAGGACACGTGTGACCCCTGCCACTTGGAGCCCGCGCTGTCTCCGAGGGTCCTGGGCTCAGGCAGTGGTGAACAGGTGTTTCTCCTGTCCCTCAGGGATCTGTCTGTGCGGCCACCACACGGAGGGCCCGTCCTGCGAGCGCTGCTTGCCAGGTTTCTACGGCAACCCCTTCGCAGGCCACGCTGACGACTGCCAGCCTTGTCCGTGCCCGGGACAGTCGTCCTGCGCCACCGTCCCCGAGAGCAGGGAAGTGGTGTGTACCCACTGCCCTCTGGGCCAGAGAGGTGAGTGGCTGGTGCCCGGGGTCCTGCCTCTGCCTGGGCTCCAGGAGGGGGTCCGGGGTTTGGAGTGGTAGAGGGCCAGCTTAGGGGTGGCCTCTGCGGACACTGAGTCCCATAGCCCCATAGCCAGGGCCCCGGCTGCTGTGGGTTCTTGGCATAACCTGGTCCATTGAGCATATCCAGGTGAGATTTTGAAAATCCCATGTCTGGGCCCTGGCCCCACAGAGCCCGGCTGCGCCTGGGGTGGAGCTCAGGACCCTGTTCCTAAGTTCCCTGGCTGATGCGTCCAACCTCCGGTTAAACGCGCAGCTTTTTAAACATGTCCGCAGATAACGTGAAGCAGACATTCCCGTCCCCAGCCCTCTCCGGTCCCTCATTCCCCCCAGGACGCAGGCCACCCTAGATGTCTGGTTTTCTTTTTAATCCTCACCCGGGGGTATTTTTCATTTATCTTTAAATAAAGTAGGAGGGAGGGAGAGAGACAGAGAGAGAGAGAGAAACATCGATGTGAGAGAGACACACTGACTGCCTCCCTCACGAGCCCGACCAGGGCCGGGGACAAACCACAACTGAGGTACGTGCCCTTGGCCAGAATCGCACCCGGGTCTCATTGGTCTGCAGGCCGACGCTCTAACCACTGAGCCAGACCGGCCAGGGGACATCTGATTTTTTTTTTTTTTTAATCCTCACCCAAGGACATTTTTTAATTTTTTGTTCAGATAGAGTGGGAGGGAGAGAGAGAGAGAGAGAAACATCGACGTGAAAGGGACACATCGAGTGGCTGCCACCCGCATGACCAACCAGGGCCAGGGACAAACTGCAACCGAGGTACATGCCCTTAGTGGGAACCGAACCCAGGTCTCTCTGGACCGCAGGCGACGCTCTAACCGCTGAGCCAAACCGGCCAGGGCGGACATCTGATTTTTTAAAACAGCTTTATTGAAACACTAGTCACATTCTCTACCATTCATCTATTTAAAGGGTGCAATTCAGTAGTTTTTTGGTATATTCTGTTATTAATTTTTTAAATTGTGGCAAAAGTGTAACATAAAATTTGCCATTTTAACCCTTTTCAAGGGGACAGTTCAGTGGCGTTAACTACTCTCACATTGTGTCACCACCTCCATCTCCAAACATCTTCCCCACCGAACTCTGCCCCCAAAACACTCCCTCCCCCAGCCTCGGCACTTGCGCTCTTTCTGTCTCCAGGAATTTGACTACTCCAGGCACTGATGTAAGTGGAACCAGACAGTATTTGTCCTTTGTGGCCGGCTTGTTGCACTTGGAATCGCGTTTCCAAGCTCCCAGCCGTCTGCGTCCAGGTTTGATACCTGTGGCCGCATCAGGGCAGCCCACTCTGTGGATCCTGTCAAACGTCAGCTTCGCTGGGGACCGCTCTGACAGCCAACAGCAGGACTGGGGGAGCCCCAGAGCAGGGATCCCAGAACTGGGGGAGCGAGGCCCCACCTCAGGACCCCACACCCGCCCTTTCCGTAACCACGGCCACCTTTTCTGCAGACACGCGGGAGCCCAGCCCACTCAGTGCGAGTGTGGACAGTTAGAGAGGTTCAGCTGGCCCAGGCCGAGATGTACTTGAGGGAGGGTTTCGGGGAGCAGGGCACTGCTGGGTGCAGAGGGGACCGCCCTGGGTGGACATTTGGTCTGGGGCCTTGTGCCAGCCTGTCTCCATCTCACCAGCGGCCTTTGGTCCTGGTGAGAGCCCAGCACGCAAAGAGCGCACCTGGACAACTCGAGTTGGGACTGTCCGGGTCAAGTTCTGACCTACACGTCTGCCCGCCATCCTGACCCCTCCGCAGCCCTTCCCGGGAAGTCGCCGCTGCCCCCGGCCCGGGGAGCGGTCCCCAGCCAGTTCCAAGCGAGCGGCCTCAGTCCGCACCACCAGCTTCCGCCTCCCTCTTGCCCGTCTCATTTCGTTTCTGGTTCAGAGCCCCAGAGCCGGGCACTGGCGTCCGTGCTGAGCTCCGGGCACGCTCCTCTCTCCCCACTTTGCTTTTCTTTCTTCGTGTTCCCCGTTTCCGTGTCCAAGGCTGCCCGCCATGAGTAATGTCAGTTTGATTGCAGCTGAGCCATGAGCCTTGAGGACACAGGGCGCCCTCAACCTTCTTTCACAGTGACAGTAGCTACTGTTCATTAAGTTATAAAGTGAGCGATACTCATTGTAACGCCTGGAACCACCCGTAAAAGTGTCAGGAGGACCATAACATGCCTGCGAGCAAGGAGATGACCTGCCGGGCATCCGGCCACCCCCAGGGGACGTGGTGACTGTGGAGGTCTGTGGGTCCCCCCAGTCGTCTGTTTCATGACGACATACACAAGATGGGTGTGTTTCCCAAGAAACAGGCTAACACTGCATGAAGCACATGGTACATGTGTGTTCTTTTATGTCCCGTCTGTGTCCAGAGTGGACCTCCCACGTCACGACCCGCCAAAGGCCTCCTGACGCACCACCTTTTCTGAGACTCCCAGTGACCCCGAGGGCTGGGAGATGAGGCGATTCAAACCAAGGGAGCAGGGCAGGCGTCTGCAATAAACAGTCCAGAGGGGGTTCAGGGAGCTGAGAGGCAGACAAGGTCAAGGGAGCAGGACCCGCAGATGAAAAAGCAGCCACAGCTGGGGTGGGGAAGAGGGAGAGGAGGAGGAGGAGGAGGAGAGAGGAAGATGATGCAGAGGTGGGGGTGATGACGATGAAGATGAAGAAGCTGCTGATGAAGATAATGATCCAGGTGATGACAATGGTGAAGGCGACGGATGATAATGACAAAGGTCATGAGCCAGGTGAAAATGATGACAGTGAAGTGATGGTCAAGATGATCGTGAAGATGATGATGATGAAGGTGACAGATGGTGATGACGCTGAGGAAGGTCACAATCATGGTGAAGTCCACGGATGATGAGAAGATAGTGATCAAGATGATGGATGATGATGGTGGTCAAGATGACCAGGGTGCTGATGATTGGAGATGGTGACATGGTGATGATGAAGGGTGATGACAGCCACTACTAGTGAGCGTTTCCCACATGCCAGGCACTGTGCTTTGCACAGGTTACCCCCCCAAACCCTCTCGGTAGTCCTGCCCACTTTGCAAATGAGGAACCTGAGTTCAGAGAGGCACAGGGACTTGCCCACGGCCGTGCAGCCAGCTGATGGCCGAGCTGGGCGCCGCCTCAGGTCGGCCTGACCCCAGAGCCCATGCTCTGCCCCAAGGGGAGACGAGGGGCGCTTGCTTCGGTTCACACACCCTCACCCCCGGAGGACCGGGCAGGCTGGCATTCCCCATGCTTGCTCCTCCACACACAGTCCTCGCCTTTTTCTAGGGCGGCGCTGTGAGATCTGTGATGATGGCTTCTTTGGGGACCCGCTGGGGCTCTCTGGGGACCCTCAGCCCTGTCGGCGGTGCCAGTGCAATGGGAACGTGGACCCCAACGCTGTGGGCAACTGTGACCCCCTGTCTGGCCACTGCCTGCGTTGCTTGTACAACACGACAGGGCCTCACTGTGAGTGGTGCCAAGAAGGCTTCTACGGGTGCGCCCTGGCCCCTCGGCCCGCGGACAAGTGCATGCGTGAGTACCACCCCTGACCCAGCCGGCCCCGCTGCGAGGCTGTGCAGCGTGGGCAGGTTCCTCGCCTTCTCTGTTTCTTGTTCAGAAAGTGTAAGGGTTTGCTCTTCTCCACGGTCTCCCTCCACCTCGGGACCTGCTCAGCCCTGATCCTGTGGTTTTTCTCCTGCCTTGATAATTCAGCGCTCCTCTCAGGCTCTGCAGTCCGTGAGACTTGTCCCAATGGCCTGCGGCACTTGTCCCATTTCTTCCAGCCGGGCTGTGCCTTCTGGCTGAGAGCCTCCTCTTCCACCCCTCCCTGCCGCCTGGGTTCATGCACAGCCCGGTGTCCCCTCTCGGAGGGCCGCGGTGGGCACCAGCCTCCGGAAGGTTCCAGAAGTGCTGCAAGGGGAGCTCAGCATTTGCCCCAAGCTTGCTCCTGAGCCCTTTGTCCACGCGGCACCTGTCAGTGCTCAGCTGGCCCCTTACTCTGTGGGCCCCAGGAGAGAGGCTGGAGAGTTCCCAAGCAGCGGGTGCTGGGATGGAGCCTCTGGCCTCGTGTCCAGCCCACGGGGCTCGGGGGGGCCGGGCGGGCCCGCGGGCTCTCCCCAAGGCTGTAGCACACAGGCTGAGATCTGAGCCTGGCCCTGGAGCCTTTCACCAGGAACAGCGGGAGTCTGGGCCCTGGGCCGACCGCGCTGTCTGTGGGCTGCCCACCTTCTCCGCCTCTCCCACCCCAGAGCTGGGACAGATGGTCTGCACGGTTGCCCACCTCCCTTTCCCGCTCCCACCCCAGCCTGCAGCTGCAACCCAGGGGGCTCGGTCAGTGAGCAGAGGCCCTGCGACCCCGTGAGCGGCCAGTGCCCCTGCCTGCCTCATGTAACCGGACGGGACTGTGGCCGCTGCAGCCCAGGCTTCTACGACCTCCAGCCCGGGAGGGGCTGCCGGAGGTGGGTGGGGCGAGGCTGCGGGTGCCCTTCCCCTAGGGTCTCACCTCCATGGAAGGGCACCAGGGAGCCTCCGGAGAGGGGCTGGCTTGGAATGTGCATCCCAGGCCCATTGCCAGGAACACAGTGTCCTACCCTGGAGGGGGACAAAGGGACAGTCCCTTGGGGGTCAGGCTCACGGCCCTGCCAGCCCAGGATGCAGGCCAAGAGCAGCCCTGAGGGATGTCCAGGTGGGCAGGGGGCCGGTTTGGTGTCTGATTCCCTTCTCAGTGACGCTGTCACTCAGTGACCTTTTTGGCCTCAGCAACACCTTAGACAGCACCTTTGGGGACCAGTGGACTCCAGGGAGATGCCCAGTGAAGCAAACAGATTTCTCGTTTGCGTGGCTTAGTGTGCTGATTGCATTGTGACTTTCCCATAGCAGGGTATAGTCTCCAAGATGTATATGTGCCCAAGGCCATTGGGGGGGGCAGGGGAGAGCATTTTGTGAGACTGCTACCCAGGGCACAGCTTGGGGGGAAGCTGTTTGACATGGGCCAACATGGAAACGGGGCCTGGTCAGCGGAGGACATGATCTAAAGGCCCCTCACCAGCTGTAGCGGGCAGCGGCGGCTGGGCTGGGAGTGGCCAGGGCTTACCCCAGGTCCCCCCCGCCACAGCTGTAAGTGCCACCCACTGGGCTCCCAGGAGAACCAGTGCCACCCCAAGACTGGGCAGTGCTCCTGCCGCCCGGGCATCGAGGGCCAGGCCTGCGACAGATGCCAGCTGGGTTTCTTCGGCTTCTCCATCAAAGGCTGCCGGGGTAAGGAACCAGGTCCTTCCTGGCCTATCGGGAGGGCGTGGCCTGAGGTTTCTGGGCAAAGGGGACCAATGGGGAGGATGGCCGTGCAGCAGGGGAGAGAGGTCAGACTGGAGCGAGTGAGCAGAGGGGCTGCGGGGCAGGAATCCAGCCCCAGACACCGTGCTCAATGCCTGTGTGGCAGCCCGTGCATCACCTCTCTGGGCCTGCTTCCTCGTGCGTGCAGTTCGATTGCATGGTAGCTGCTCAGATTCCAGGACTCTGAGACAAGTCAGCGTCTCAACCATCACCTCTGACCTCTGAATCCGTCTCCAGGGGGCCTGGAGCAGCCAGGTGTGAGGCTGCAGGGGACCGGGATTTCTGTGCGGTGGCTATCAGGGTACTCAGTGCTGTCTGCCCGGTCCCCCCAGCCTGCAGGTGCTCCCCACTGGGCTCCGCCTCACCCCAGTGCCACGAGAACAGCACGTGTGTGTGCAAGCCTGGCTTCGTGGGTTACAAGTGTGACCGCTGCCAGGTCAACTTCTTCCTCACGGCCGACCGTGCACAATGCCAGGAGTGCCCGTCCTGCTACACCCTGGTGAAGGAGGAGGTGAGCCCACCCGCCCAGGCGAGCACCAGCTCCAAGCTGGGCACTAGGAACTGCCCGCCACCCGGAGCGCCAGCTGCCTTCTCCCTGTGCCCACCCAGCCTCCTAGCCCGTGCCAACCTGGGTCAGCCCTCGCCTCTCCTTCCCCACTCTCCAGTGGACAGGAGCTCTTGATCCATCCCTCACCGACCACCCAGGCTCCCACCTTCTCAAGTTCCATGGGGATAGACCCCAGACAGCCCTTTGTGGGGAATGTCAGGAGGGCAATGCCCATTCCGGGGCACAAGCAGGATTTCGGGAGGTGCTGTGGTGCAGGGGTCAGAACATGAGCTGGGGTCCCCCTCCCCCAGCCCTCTAGTTGTCATGCACCCCAGCAGGTGACAGTCTTGCTTCAGTGTCTCCTACTCCAAATGGAGTTAATTCAGGCTTGCAGACCCTCACCTGAGACCAGTGAGCCCACGTTGGGATGACAGCACAGTAGAGAGACAAGATGACACGTGCCGTATATTGGGTCTACCCCAGCGGCACCCGGGCCAGCCCCATAGTGACATAGCAGCAGGAAAACATGAAGGTCCACACCAGGGGGTCAGTAAGACCACAAGAAGCCTTGTGCAGATCAGTTTCACAGTTATAAAACCCCACCCTGCACCCTGGCTGGTTTGGCTCAGCGGTAGAGCATCGGCCTGCGGTCCAGAGAGACCCGGGTTTGGTTCCCGCTAAGGGCACGTACCTCGGTTGCAGTTTGTCCCCGGCCCTGGTTGGGTCGTGCAGGTGGCAGCCACTCGATGTGTCCCTTTTACGTCGATGTTTCTCTCTCTCTCCCTCCCTCCCCACTCTATCTGAACAAAACATGGAAAAATGTCCTCAGGTGAGGATAAAAAAATTAAAAATAAATAAATAAACCCCACCTTGCCATCAAAGAAGGACCGGAAGGCTTTGTGGTTGTCAGAGCCTTTTGGACTTTGGAACTGAGGAGAGGGCTGGGGACCTGTCACCCCGGCCGGTTAGGGTGGTTACCAGGTGAACGGGAGCTGGTGTGTGGCCAGTGGTCGCTCCCGGCTGGCTCCCATGCTCTGAGTACAGCTCTGTCTGTATGATTAAGAGAACGGTGCTGGGCCCTGGTCAGTTTGGCTTAGCAGTTAGAGCATCGGCCTGTGGTCCAGGGAGACCCAGGTTCAGTTCCCACTAAGGGCACGTGCCTCAGTTGCTGTTTGTCCCCGGCCCAGTTGGGTCCTGGGGGAGGCAGCCACTCGATGTGTCCCTTTCACATCGATGTTTCTCTCTCTACCTCTCTCTCTTTCCTACTCTGTCTGAACAAAAAATGGAAAAATGTCCTCAGGTGAGGACAAAAAAAAAAAAACAAACGGTGCTGGGAGATGCAGCTTAGCATACTCAGCCAGCCGGTCCCTGGCACCCCTGCTGCGTGCCCAGTTCCGGGCAGAACAACAGGGCAGACAGGAAATCTCCTGGCCTTCCCTTCCCATCCCCCCCTTCAGCAGGACAGGTGTGGTGGGCTGAACGCCTGCAGGTGGGGACCGCGCTGAGCATGGGGTGGGCAGGGCTGCTGCTCAGAGGTCTCGTGTGTCCTCAGCTGTGAGGCCCAGAGACCCCCGGGAAGGACAGGCTGGGCAGGAGCCAGGGAGAGGTATCCAGGCCGTATCTCCCTCCCTGTCCTCTCCAGGCTGCCAAGCTGAAGGCCAGGCTGACCCTGATGGAGGGGTGGCTGCAGGGGTCCGACTGTGGAAGGCCCTGGGGACCAATGGACATTCTGCAAGGAGAGGCCCCTCGGGGTGACATCTACCAGGGCCACCACCTGCTTCAAGGTACAGCGGGAGACCAGGAGGCAAAGGGAGGGCTGGCTGGTCAGATGCCCCCTCTGGAGCCCTTTCGTCTGGTCTCAAGAGGCTTTGAGGGCCCCCAGCTCAGCCACAGGAGAACCCACTTACTGGGAGAGCTTGCCTGACCTCCCTGCCTGGGTAGGCTCCTCCCCATGGACCTCTCCTCCAAGGCCCCTTGTCCAGTTTTGTAACTTTATTACCATCAGTCTCTTACTATAGCATTGGTCCCCCACTCCTACCCCACCCAGACTGTAAACTCAGCGAGACTGTAAAGCTGGGTTCATTCATTGACGCACTTGTGCAGCGAGTAATTACTGAGGCGCTGTCCCAGGTGCTGAACAGGTATGGCCCCAGCATAGAAAATAAATGAGTCGATTAAAACAACCCTGTCTTGTTTGGTTCCGCAGTTAGAGCATCAGCCTGCAAACCAAAGGGTCATGGGTTTGATTCCCTGTCGAGAGCATGTACCCGGGTTGCAGGTCCGACCCCTGGTTGGGGTTAATGTTTTTCTCCCTCCCTCCCTCCCTCCCTTCCACTCTGTCTAAAAATTAATGGAAAAATATCCTCAGGTGAGGATCAACAACAACAAAAAATAAAATTAGAAAAGATTATTTCTAAAGCCAGGTGGAATTTGGCCCTAGACACTGAAATTTAGAGAGCATTGAAAGCAAATGAATTATTCTGTGAAACGCCATGTTCGTAAGTACCTATACTCCTTTAACAGCCATAGAGGTGAGCTGAGCCCCTGTCAGCAAGACTAATTATTGAAACAGGGAGCTGCGTGTTACGACGCCCACGCTGAGCCATGCTGCAAATTACATTGCTGACTCAAGGCAGTTTTTCGGCGGCCCAGATGTGGGACTTGCTCATGTGGCTTTAGAAGACCTGGGTTCCTGCCAGTCCCCCATCCACAGCAGACTTCCCGTGTGGGAGACCTGCATCTCTGGGCCTCAGCCTTTGCGTCTGCAAAATGGGGAGACTCTTCCCTGGGAACTGACTGTAGGTGCCCAGGCCTGGTGCTAGAGTTAAGCTGTGCCCAGGGAGAGTGGAGGGCACAGATGGGGTCCCCCCAGGACAGGGGCTTTCATGTGAAATCTCACTTGCTCTGTGACCCCCTGGACTTTGGGCTTTCTGCAGGGTTCCGGGAAGCCTTCCTGGTGCAGGTGACAGGCCTCAAGGGTGCTGTGAAGGCTGCGCAGGAGCAGCTGCAGAGGCTGAGCAGGAGGGCCCGCTGTGCCCAGGCCAGAGCCGAGAAGACCTGTGTCCAGCTGGCAGACCTGGAAGCAGCCTTGGGGTCCTCGGAAGAGGAGATCCTGCATGCGGCCACTGTCCTGGCATCTCTGGTACCTCCGGGAGTCCCCTGCCCACACGGAGCCTGGGCTCAGTGCCACTGACCTGCCGACCTTGGGCATAGCTCCTTCCCCTTTGGGAGGCTCGGTTTCCTCATCTGCCAGCATGGGAGACCCATAGAGCGTCCTCCGCTGGTTCGGTTAGATAACATGTGCAGAGGACAAGGCTTGGTCCCAGGAAGTGGAGGGTGTCCTCCCTGTCATTTCCACGTTCCAGGGTGCCGCGCCCCGGATGCTGACCTAGAGCATTTCTGAAGGAACTGGCACCGTTCGGTTCTGCCCGACAACTTAGTAGGTGGGACCCCTGCCCTTCAGGGATGGGCCATCAGTTCCGTCCTCTTTTCGTCTTTTCTCTAAAGGTGATTCCTCAGGAAGTTTCCGGTCAGCCCACCAACTGGAGCCACCTGGCCACAGAGGCCCGTGTCCTCGCCAGGAGGTGAGCCCCCAGGCCCTGGGAGCATAGTGAGGTCCTGCCCACGCCCTTATGCATGGAGCCCAGCCCTTCTTGTAGGGGTTTCCAGGGCCAGGATCAGCCCACAGATCTCCCCACCTTAGGAGCTGGAATCAGCGGAGGACAAGTGCTCCCTGGTTGGGGGGCAGTGTCACCGCCGTGGGAAGGATAGGTGTGTGAGGACACCATGGACACCTCAGAGGTGCCGGGAGTGGGGCTCAAAGGTACCTTGGTCGACGGAAGGCATTGAGAGCATCTACTGTCTTTTTTAAAATAACAGCTTTATTAAGATAAAATCTGCATATCCTAAAATTCACCTGTTTGAAGTGTATAAGTCAGTGGTTTGCAGTGTATTCAGAGTGGTGCAGCCATCCCCACAATCCATTTTAAAACATTCTCATCACCCCCAAACAAGCCTTGTACCCATTGGGATTACTCTCCCTTGCCCTTCAACCTCCCAGGCCCTGGCAACCACCAGCCTACTTTGTCTGTCTGGATCTCCGCATTCTGGACATTGCGTGTAGAGTCACTCGGGGTGTGGGCTTTTGCGTCTGGCTTCCTCCACGTAGCAGAATGGGTTCAGGGACCACCCATGCGTAGCATATACCAGCATTTCCTCCCTTCTCACAACCAATACCGCTCGTTGTGTGGGCAAGACACATCTGTTTTCCCTGTCCTCCATCCATGGACGCTTGGGTGATGTCCCCCGCTGCCTGTGAGAAGCAGCCAGACACCGAATCTGCAGCAGTTTTCCCCTTCCGCTGTGCCCTGGGGACCTCAGGCCCATTTGACAGATGAGGAAACAGATTCAGAGACGTTAAGTGACTTGCTTGAGGACACACAGCCTGCAAGTGAGAGAGTCGGGATTCGAATCCGGGTCTTGACCACCCTCTTCTGTGCCGTCTTGATTAGAGTGACCATGTAATTTACTGTCCGAAGCGAGACTGCGTGTGTGATAAAGGGCCATCCCTATTCCTCCCTGCCAGGACAGCAGGCGTGAACTCTCTGTAACAGGAACGGGACGGGTCCCCTTCCTGTCTGTCTGTTGTGCGTCAAGCAGAGGGCCTGGCTGTACTCCAGGATGGCAAGAGGCCCAGGGCGCGGGGGCTGTGGGTTGGGGCCAAGGCCCCCTTCCTTGCGAGCTCTTGGCCATGGGTGGGGGATATTTTCATGCAGCCACAAGGACACTGCCACCGAGATCAAGGCCACAGCTCAGAGGGCTCTGCTCGCCTCCAACACCAGCTACACGCTTCTCCGGAGCCTGGTGGAGGGCAGCCTGGCCCTGGATGCTCAGCGGGAGCTGGAGGACAGGTGAGCTGGAGGAAGCGGAGCCCTACCAGGTACGGGTAGGAGCTTGGTTTGGCCTCCCGGAGTCGACAGGGTCTGGCCAGAGGCTGCTGGTTCTGGAACTGGCTTCCTTTCCCTGACATTCTGTGTCGGGTCAGGATGTCTGGGTCTTGGGCCCATCTGGTGGTGTTACAAGAACCCCCTCACGCATGGGGGTGCAGCTCAGCCTCTTGAGAGAAGGAACAACAGCCTGAACGGAGGGCCCTCTCTTCCCTGCAACAACACCCAGCCCCACCCCATGTCCCTGAGGAGGCTCCTCTCTGGCACCAGCTTCCTGGCCTCTACTCTCTGCTGTGGGTGCCCCTTTATATCTCTCTTGCTCAGAGGGTCAATGGAGACCCACCAAGTCTGCCCAAGCCCCACGTGGGCTTCTAGGGGGGAGAATCTGATTGGCCCAGCTCAGATCAGGTGGCCAGCCCTGAGCCAATCAGCATGGCTGGTGTGAGGTCACATGATCCACTCCTGGGGCAGGGGCTCTGGCTCTCTGAGAAGGGGTGAGGGATGGGAGCGGGCCAGGTGGATGGAAGTGGGCGGCTGGACAAGCAGGAAAGCTGTTGGAGTTTGTTGATTACAGCACCTCAGGGCTAACGGGCACAGAGCAGTCCTGCCGCCCAGGGGTCTCCACGTCCCCGGGCACCCAGGGCACAGCTGAGCCAATACTGCTTCTGGGCCGCTGCCCTCCCCGCCAGGCATGTTCCACTTCGCGATTCATCCTGAGGAGCCAGACATGTGCAAAACATGTGCTTCTTAAAGAGAAACCAAGTGTGAGCCCTCCAGAAAAGCGCGGCTCAGTTGAGTGGGTGAAGAAACCTGAATAGATCCCTCTGCGGCCTTTTCCATGCATTTGAAATCCGCAGCGCGGCAGCCAGTTTCTGAGGCCAGCTGCTGGGTCCGATCCGCAGAGGGAGGCTCTGTCCGGGCAGCTGGGAGAGGCCTTCAGAACTCGAGGGCTGGGCCCTGGCCAGTTTGGCTCAGCGGTTAGAGTGTCAGCCCGCAGACCTCGGTTGCGATTCCATCCCCGGTCCTGGTTGGGGTCCTGCGGGAGGCTACCTATCAATGTGCCTCTCTCACATCGATGTTTCCCTCTCTTTCTCTCTCTCTCTCTCCCGCCCTCCCTCCCTCCCTCCAACTCTGTCTGAAAATCAATGGAAAAAAATCCTCAGGTGAGGATTTTTTAAAATCGAGGGCTGGGGAAGGGGGCACAGGACAGCGACGGGAAGGAAAGCCCTGCGCCCTGTTCCTTGGGCCATCCTGACTCTGTCTCCTCTCAGGTACCAGGAGGTCCAGGTGGCCCAGAAGACACTGGGCAGAGCTGTGGCCGAGGTGCTGCCTGAAGCTGAGAGGGTGCTGGCCGCCATGCAGCAAGCTGGCACAGACACAGCCCTGCCCCTGACCTCGCTGGCTGCCCCTGCAGCACTGGTCAGCTCGGCCGCTCTTGGTGTCCTGCATGGGGTGGGGACGGGGGAACGTGGCAGCTGGGAAACCAGTGTGGCCCAGGCAGAAGCAGATGCCGTGGTTTACTTCTAACTCTGTAGCCGTCGATCAAAATGAGATAATCCGCCTCCAGGGCTTGGCAGAGCGCCTGCCTGGCACAAAGTTAGCACTTGACTGATCTGGGTTGTTGATTACAATAATAATATCAAGGTGGAGCCTCTTCCCCATCACGGTGGCATTGGCAACGGCACCAGGTGGACTTGGGACCCATCCCAGCGCCGCTGCTCCAGCCATGACCTTGGTCAAGGACTGTTCCTCCCTGTGCCTTGGTTACTTGTCTGTCAGGGGGAGCGCGCCCATTGGGTCACTGAAGGGCTGTGTGTCCGCGGGGAGTGGTCAGTAATGCACAGGTGACCCTCCATGGGTGTCGGCCTCTCTGTGCCTGCCACCCTACACTCATCACGTCTGGGCGAATCTGTTCCGTGTGTCTTCTCGGTAATCCTGCAATCCCAGAACTCAGGAACTGAGCTTTGAAAAAAGGCTAAGCTTATACGAATGCACTTGGGGCAAACTGTGAGCAAGACTGACCAGCCCCAGGCTGCTTGTGCGGGTCTCTGCTTCCGCCCCGCCAGTGAAGTGATAAGCAGGTAGTAATGCGTTTGGCTGAGTCCTGGTTTCCCAGATGCTGCTGGGGCGGTTAGACGACGTGGGGTGCGGGTGCAGCGGCGCCCCCCTCGAGCCCGGGAAGTCTGAGTTGGGGATACACCAGCCCCAAGGTTTCTGCTAAGTGGCTGGACCTGGGGAAGGGAATGCAGGCCAGGGAGGTTAGCTGACTTGCCTGATGCTGCACTTCCTAGAGATTGGAGGGGCTGGAATTTGAACCTTAAGAGACAGATCCCACCCTCACCCCTCTGCTTCCCTGTGTCCACTTGCCCCTACTCCTGCCATCCCTGCCCCTGGTGCCTGGCACCCCAGAGAGAATCTGCCCCGTGGACCTTCCTGCCAGGTCCTGCCTGAGCCCTCCGTCTCCCTGCAGAATTCCGGGACCAGGGACCTGAGCCTGAGGGTGCAGGACCTGGAGAAGACGGTCATGTCCAGGGAGCAGGGGATCACTGAGGCTGCCCGGGCCCTGCAGGCGACGGCCCACTCCATGCTGCACAAGACAGAGCCCCTCATGCAGGTAGGCTTTTGTCCTTTGAGGCAGGCACCTGGAGGGGGTCAGGGCTGCCCCAGAGGAGATCTGGGGGCTGAGTTGCAGGGGAGGGAGGGGCCAAGGCCAGGGTAGTTCTTTTCCTGCCTCCAGGGTCTCCCCAGAACTCCAGAGAACCTCACAGTCAGCCAGGGCAGGGGACAGGAAGGACAGACCAGCAGCACCAGCAGCACCCAGGGCCATGCCCACCGCCCTTAGTCAGCATCGGTTTCAACTGGGATGGGTCTTCATTCATTCTTTCCTCCCACAGTTCACCCGCCCAGTGTGCACAGAGCACCTCCTCTACGCATAGTGCGCACCCCTGCGGTTTGGCACGGCTCCCAGGAGTGGAGACGGTGCTAAATGATTGGGGAATTCGGGGAGAAGTAGGGGGTGACTTTAGCCTAGTCTGGTGGTGTCCAACCTATTAAAGTATAAAGACCTCTTAAATTTTTTTTTTTAACTTTTCATCTGGAAATAATTTTAGACCTACAGAAAGGTTGCAAACAGAGTACAAAGAATTCCCCTGTACCCTTCATACAGATCCCCCTTATGTCCACGGTTTAACTAAGCACAGTACACGTGTCAAAATAAGGAAGTCAGCAAGACAGGATACAATGAACTTACCTACTGACCTTATTCAGATCCTGACTTATCACAGAAACGGCTTATCTGTAGCCTCCCCTCTCTTCCCTTTAAAAACGGGACGGGGTAAGGCTGCCTGTGAGAAGCGAGCCTGCATCTGAAGAGCTGGCCCCGCGCTTGGCACACGCTGGGGGAGCTGTGCTGTGCCAGGGCCCCCGGTGGTACCCTTGTCTGGAGTAGGGGTGCCAAGGAGAGAGCGGGTCCCGGGTACTCTGAGCGCCATGGCAGAGTCAGGGCCAGAGCCCAGCGGGCGGTGCCTACCCCCCAGAGCGCCCCCCTACACACACACCCCTCCTTCCTGCTAAGGGTTCAGAGGCAGACTGGGACACGAGGGCCCAGGGCAGCATTTCGTGGCCCTTCAAACCCATATTATCTATTTACTATTTTTTACTGAGCTAAAATTCACATAACACGAAACAAACCACTTTTTTTTTCATCCTCACCCAAGGACATGTTTTCATTTATCTTCAGATAGAGTGGGAAGGGAAGAGGGAGAGAGAAACATCGAAGTGAGAGGGACGCATCGATTGGTTGCCTCCCACACAAGCCCGACCAGGGCCAGGGATGAACTGCAACCGAGGTACATGCCCTTGACCGGAATCGAACCTGCAACCGTTTGAACTCTCTGGTGTGTGGGCCAACACTCAAACCGCCAAGCCAAACCAGCCAAGGCAAAACAAACCATTTTTAAGGGTACAATGCGGTGGCATTTAGCACCTTCACAGTGTTGCACAGCCACCACCTCTGTCTACTTCCAAAACCCTCATCACCCCAAACAGAAACCCATGCCTGTTCAACAGTCACCCCCACATCTGAACAGAAAGCACCTGAACAGAAAGCCCCTGGCGGCCACCCATCTGTCTGGACTTCCCCATCCTAGCTATTCCTCATACGTGGAATCATATAATACGTAGCTTTGTGTCTGGCTCCTTTCACGTACCGTGATTTTGAGGTCCACCCACTTTGTAGCGTCTATCAGTACTTCCTTCTTTTTCGTGACTGAATACTATTCATTGCGTAGATGAACCACATTCTGTGTATCTGTTCACCCATCAGACCCATTTGCTTTGCCTGGTCTGGTTTAGTGGTGGGGGGAGGGAAGAAACTGATTTTCTGGGGGAAAAGTTGTAGAGCAAACAGATGTGCTGGTTGAGATCCAGCGGTGTTCCGAAAAGAAATTTCCGGTCCTCCTTTCTGCCTTAAGTTGCCATGTTGGTTTTCCTTCAGGCTTTCCCAGGGCACGTAACTTCTCGGGAGAGAGATTCGGGGACTAACATTTGTAAAATAAAACAAAGCAGGTGTTCCTGGTAAACAACATAATTAAGTGTCAGAGTTTGGGTGATGTTTTGGGACTCGGTATATGTGGGTTTGGTGCCCACCCGCCCTGACTCTAGGCGGCGGACCTGCATGCCACCCACCCAGCCTCTCTCTTCTCTCTCCAGCTGCAACAGGAGGCCAGAGCTGCCCTGACCCAGGCTTCCTCATCTGTCCAGGCTGCCACAGTGACCGTCATGGGAGCTAGGACCCTGCTGGCTGACCTGGAAGGTAGGCGTGCCTTGCGGAGCCCTAATCTCATTGATACGCAAATGCCCGTGACAAGCACCTGAACAGACTTGGTGGCAGGGCACAGGGGCCCAGTCTCGTGGGCATAAGCCAGGGGGACAATGGCCTTTGCCAGGACCTGTCCCGTAGCTGCTTGTCTCTCCCCATCTCAGACTGCTCACCAGGTACTTGCCCACCTGGTCCTCCATCATCAGACCACACGCAGAGCCCTGAGAACCTTATGGGAAGAGAATCCGATGCCATGGGCTGTCCAGTCCCGGGCTGGTCCACTCTGCCAGGCTCCCGTCACCTGGTACAAATATGACTGCCGTGGTCCAGTGTGGAGTGGGGGCCATGGGAAGGGACACAGAATTCCTTAGAAGGAGGTATGGGGCTCTGGCCGGTTTGGCTCAGTGGTTGGAGCGTTGGCTCACGGACCAAAGAGTCATGGGTTCGATTCTGGTCAAGGGTATGTACTTAGGTTGCAGTTCAGTCCCTGGCCCTGGTCAGGGTCATGCAGGAGGCACCCAATTGATGTGAGATAGGCTCTCTCACATAAGATGTGTTTCTCTCTCTCTCTCTCTCTCTCTCTCCCTCCCTCCCTCCCATTCTGTCTGAAAATAAATGGAAAAATATCCTCGGGTGAGGATTAAAAAAAAAAAAGTAGGGGGTATGGACTGGTGCCAGCCAGGTCTCTTTTTGAGCTTTAAGAAAGTGAGGCTAAGTGCTCCCATTTCACAGATGGATAGACCGAGGAGCGGGAGTGATATCTGTGCCGGGGTCAGAGCTGAGCTGAGCAGAAACCAGCAGTGTTGCAGTTGTACACCTCGGTGTCCCCACATGGCTCCTGAATGTCCTCTGTGCTCCCCAGAGAAGCCCCTCACCCTGCACGTGTGGCTCTGTCGCCGTGAGCTGGATCAGGACAGGAACACATTGAGCCCTCAGTGCCTCTCAGGGTCCGAGACCAAAGTCAGGCCTCCACTGTCATCTTGGTCCCCAACCTCGCTCCCCAGCCCCACCCACTGCCCGTAAGACGTAGGCAGAGGGGACTGGGCAGTAGCTCCGATCCTCTAGGTTCCCCTGCACTCAAGTCCTGGGGACCCCCTGGTTAGGGGCCTTCAAGTGGGAAAGGCGTGGTTATACGTGCTTGTCTCTGCTTCACGTTTAGGAGGATGTAGATGCGGTGATAGACAATCATGGAATATTAGGACTTTAGAACAGTAGAATTATAAAGGGCCTTAAAGTCATGTGCCGCCACCCTCACACCAGACAGGGGATTCATCTACTCTTAGCTAGCTTGCCTCTGGTGATGGTGTGCTCACCACCTCACAAGGCATCACCTTCTCATCGCTGGATGGTTCTGAGAATAAGGAAGGTCTTGGGAGCACTACGTGGAAATCTGCCTCCCGGCGCTGCTTGGTAATCCACGCGAGGACATGCTCAAACCTCTACCCTGGGTTCTTCTCCCCACTCCCACCCCTGTGCTCAGTTGGTGTTCAGGATGGAAGGAAACTTCCCGAATGAATGTGGAGCAGCCTCCCCCAGGGTGTGCTCCAGGGCCCCTCCCGCAATACGCTCTTCCGGGGGAGGGTTTGTGTTCAAATGCGGGTAGGAAACGCCTTGTCCTGCAGCTCCCTCTGAGGCCTCACAGGCACACCTTGGAACATGAAAGGCCCTGAGAAGTCCTGCAAGCAAGACACCTAGTTAACTTTATTTTACCTTAATTGACATCCCCCCCTGACATTTATTAACACCCTGTATAATTAGGACTCCACAGAATACACATTTTGTGTAGAAGAAGCAAAGCAGATGTAATTTCTGGATTGCCTTCATAGAGCAATTAGGTCATGTTATGCCCATAAAGATTAGAAGGCTTGATTCTTTTTATTTATATGTTTTTAATTTAATTTTTTTTTATCCTCACCCGAGGACATTTTTCAATATTTTTGTTCAGATAGAGTGGGAGGGAGGGAGAGAGAGAGAGAGAGAGAAACATCGATGTGAAAGGGACACATCGAGTGGTCGCCACCCGCACTACCCAACCAGGGCCGGGACAAACTGCAACCGAGGTACATGCCCTTAGCGGGAACCGAACCCGGGTCTCTCCAGACCGCAGGCCAATGCTCCAACCGCTGAGCCAAACCGGCCAGGGCAAGGCTTGATTCTTTTTAAAATGTGACTTTGTCTACTGGATTCAGTACACCTTAAGGTAAATTTCCCTAACAAATTCATCTGAAAGGAAAGGAAAAAGTCTCTCTTTACAGAAGGAAACTACTTCTTGTTAGATAATAAAACCTATGTGGATTGTACTTCCCTTTCGGTCTTGGTTGCTAGGAAGCTCATCGGTAAAGAGGGCATTTAGTACCTGCAAAGTCATTATCTTAATTTTCTGACACTTCTCACTCCCCCTCTTCCCTTCCTCACCCCCCCCCCCGCCTCAGTTATAGGTGGTCCCCGGTTTTTCATTTTAATGGTCCAACTCTTTGGGGTTTTTTTAGAGAGGAAGGGAGAGGGAGGCAGAGAGAGAAACATCGATGTGAGAGAGACACATCGATTGGTTGCCTCCCACTTGTGCCCTGGCTGGGGGTGGAACCTGCAACCTGAGTATGTGCCCCGCCTGGGACTCAAACCCGTGCACCGGACGATGCTCAACCAACAGAGCCACACTGGCCAGGGCAGTGGTCCGACTCTTGATTTATCTGTCACTATGAGATGCCTTTTTAGGAATAGGTAGTACATAAAAACAGAGAGTTCGCCCTGGCTGGTTTGCTCAGTGGTTAGAGCCTCAGTCTGTGGACCAAAGGGTCACAGGTTTGATTCCTAGTCGAGGGCATGTACATAGCTTGCAGGTTCAATCCCCAGCCCCGGTCCAGGTCGTGCAGGAGACAACCAATTGATGTGTCTCTCTCACGTTGATGTTTCTCCTCTCTCCCTCCCTCTCTTCCACTCTATCTAGAAAATCAATGGGAAAATATCCTCAGGTGAAGATTAAAAAAAAAAAGTAAATTAAAAATAAACAACAGCAGAGAGCTCCATGGATTTTGCTGTGTAGTCTCCTGTGGTTCCCACCCCAGCAGTGGCCCAGGCATTGACCAGCATGTCATCTGTACCTTTAATACGTATCATAGTATAATAGGAATCTTGAATTCCCTGGGCAGTATGTCTCACTTACTTGCCATCCTCTCCATAACCCTGAGTAGGTTACACACAGGCCTTCTGCATTTCGACCTCCACTCGGGTCTGAGGGTCTGGAGCTGGTCAGGCGTCTCGCAGGCTCTCGGGCCACGAGCCAGGCCCTCCTGACAGCCTCAGCCGGGTTTGCAGGAATGAAGCTGCAGTTTCCCGGGCCCAAGGACCAGGCCGCGCTGAGGAGGAAGGCGAGCATCGTCCGGGGCAGGCTCCTTGCGGAGGCGAAAAAGAAGACCAAGCAGGTGGAGAGGACGCTGGGAAACGCGGCATCTGTGTCCTCCAGTGCTAAGAAGAAGGCCAAGGAAGCCGAGCTGTTGGCCAAGGACAATGCCAAGGTCAGGGACACAGATGGGATGACAATGGCGTCCTTCCCTGTGGGAGGGCTGTCATATAAGAGTTGCCCCTGCAGATCCGCCCCTTCCCCAGATGCGGTGCTGAATATTCCACACTCACTGAGGGCTCCGTGGGTCTCAGGCTGTCATTGCTGTCCCCATGGGACAGGTGAGGAACCTGAGGCCCCGCTGGTTCAGTAACTTAAATCACATCACCAGAACTCACACGTAGTCTGTTTGGCCTTATTCCCTAAACCTCAGGTGGTTCTTTTTTAACTGGGGCCCAGTTCTAATGGGTGCGTGTCTCCCCGGCTCTCGCTGACTGTTGCACCTGCTGGCATTACCGCCACAGTGGTCTCTGCCTTCAGAGGACATACTTTGTCGCCCTCTTCTTGCGGCACTGTCACCCACTGTAGCTCGCCAAGGCCTCGCGGAGGGAGGGGGAGCAGGATCGCCGCCGGGCCAGCCGGCTCTCCGGCCAGACGCGGGCTGCGCTCCGCCAGGCCTCGCGGCAGGTGCTGGTCTCAGGAGCACTGAGACGGGAGCTGGAGGACGCTGAGCAGGTACGTGTGCCAAGGCCTCCACCCCACTTCCTCCCGGCCCCTGAGCCAGCAGGGGCCGCTCCAGCTCTGCCTCCCTCCTCCCTCCTGAAGGTGGGTGCTGGGCTGAGTGAGATGGAGCAGCGGATCCAGGAATCTCGCTCCACCCTGGAGGAGGACGTCAAGGCCTTGTCAGAGCTGCTCGCCAGGCTGGGTAAGGAGGACCCGAGGCTGGGCCCTGCCCCTCTGCGTCCCGGGGGCCCCTCCCCTCTGCGCCCCGGGGGGCCCCTCTGGGATCGCCCTGTGAACTCTATGAGGATACACCGCACTGGCCGTTGTCCTTGTCATTCATTCATTCATTCACTCATTCATTCATTCACTCCTTCATTCATTCACTCACTCATTCATTCATGCCAGCACCGTGCTTGGCCTGGGGACGCAGGAGTGAACAGCACTGGACCCTGCTCCTGGGAGCCCCAGATAAGCAGGTGGAAGGGAGGCCATCACCCAGTTCTGAAGCTCCTCAGAGGCCAGGCTGTTTGGACTTTCCTGAGGACAGCGGGGCCTCTCCAGGTCTGCGGGGAGCAGAACCTGCCCAGGCATCGGAGCTCAGCCCCGCTCTGCCCCGGCTCCGCCCCTGCTGCTGCCTGCCCTTCCTCGAAGCCTTCATTGCCCAGGAAATTCGAGGCCGTAGGGAGCCCGGGGCCCAGCCGGGCCCTGTGGGAGTCGAAGCCATTTGGAACTTACTTCCTCGTCACCTGGCTGAGCCCTGTCTTCCTGTTGAATGTCACCCTTCATGACAAGGGCCAGGCGGGGCAGGTAGCCTGTGGGTTTGATGCCATCATCACCACCAAGTTCAAATGAGAGCACCAGGCCCCACCCCCTTGCTTTATTCTTGGGGAGACTCCAGGAAGTCCCAGACCTCTGCTGCCTGCTCCCCAGGTCTGAGCCCCTCCTGTCCATCTGCCTCCTCGTTCCCATTCTGCAGCCAGAGACCCTGTTTCCACCACCCATCCCCCCACACCCGGCATAGGTGGTCTCCGGGAGGGTGCGCTCTTGGTGAATGGACGTGCGTGTTGGAACCCATAGGCACCAAGGGGACCATGTACACACCACTGCTTTACAGATGAGGACACTGGGCTCAGGACTCATCCGAGGCCTTTTTAAAACAGCAGTAGTAACACCAACAACAAGCATTAACAGTTGCCCAGTGCCACCTGTCAGGGGGAATGTTCCAGAGTCTGCACATGAGCTTGTTGGGTACCCAGACTAGGCCTTTATCACACTGCCCTCTCGGTCCCTCGATTTCCTGGTGGATTGTGGGCAGTCCAAGTCCTGGAAGGTTTGGACTGGGAAGGGTCTCTGGGGTGGGGGCTGAACAGCTTCTGGGGCCCGCAGGGAGCTGGCCCACGCTGAGGCTCTCTGCCCCTCTGCAGAATCACTGGACACCCATCGAGCCCCAGGCCGGGCCCTGACCAAGACCCAACAGGCCCTGGAGCGCCTGAGGCTGCGGTTAGGCCCGCCCGGGCCCCTGCAGGAGCAACTGAGGCTGTTGGAGCAGGAGTCTGAACAGCAGGAACTGCAGATCCAGAGCTTCGAGAGTGACCTCGCCGAGATCCGTGCTGACAAGCAGAACTTGGAGGCCATTCTAAAGAGTCTGCCCCCGAGCTGTGCCAGCTGGCAGTGAGCGCGCTCCGCCTGGCAGGAGCGCCCAGAGCCCGCTGCTGCGAACCCTCCCGAGTGAGCACACACCCTTCCGAGTTCGTGCCCATGCCTCCTCCATCTGCAGGAGTCAGCGTGCACACTCAGGGATCACCGCTGCATACACTCCCTGCCGTGCACACCCAAACACGCACACCACGGTGTCAATAACGCATGCGTGCTTGCACATGTATACGTGTGGACACGTGCCTGTGTGTGTGGTACACACATGTGCACGAGTCCATCTGTGCACATACACCTGTTACAATCAACCCACAGCTGCTTATTGGGGGCCACTGTGTGCTGCACACCCTCTGGATGCTGGGGAGTCACGTTAAGCACGCTGTGGCGCTCACATGCTACTCACTCTTGAAAGCCTGGGCCCAGGCAGGTTGGTACCTGGGAGGCTGGGGGGGTATCTGCAGAGATCCAGGGTGGGATCAGCAAGGGCCAGAGCCCCAGTCCTAGGGCAGCCTTCTGTCCCACTGCAGTCCTCTCCGTCACCCTCCACACACACACCCAGCAGCTCTGTACAGTCAAGGGACGGGCAGGCCAGAAACTCAAGGTCCTAGAGGGTTCTCAGCAGTGGAACCCGAGGCCCGGGACTCCTGGGCCATGGTGCAGCCTGCTGGGCCAGCCAGGGTGGCCCACCCCTGCAGGGAGGTCATTGGCTTCATGGAATGCTTCGTTCTCAGGATCCTGGGGCCCCTTTCACTCTGTGGCCTGTCCAAAGAGCTGGGCTCAAGGGCCTGAGGAGGCCTGGGTCAGGGGGCGCAGGTAGCAGGGGGCTCCCCTTTGTGACCCCATTGACCCCAGAGGGCCTTTGACTGATTGACACTCCCAAAGCAGCCCTCACCTGTTCCAAGGGAGGCCGCTGCTGGGCGTGGAGGCCTGGCTGCCTTTGCGGCCTGTGCTGCTGGAGAATCCCCCTGTGGCCAGGCCTCCCTGCCGGCCTCTGTCCAGGATTCCCTGGCATTTCCTCCTGGCACGCCTCCGCTTTCCCGGGCCTCTTCCAACAGATGGCAGGGCCTTGGCACCGGGAAGATGGGTGCCACAGGGCGCCCAGGACCCTCCCACAGCTCTTCCTGTCCTCAGCGGGGGAGGGGGGGCAGCCACAGTCCAATTCTGTCTGATGTGGAAATAAAGGACCTCTTTACTAGCTGGGTGGTATGTCTTTGGTCCCCCCATGCTGGTTGGCAGCAGGGGCTCTGGCTGTGTGCGCGCGCACACACACTCACACACGGCACACCCCGAGAGTGGGACACACCCAGTGACCAGGGAGTGGGAGGAAGTACACGGGTTAATCCATCTCAGCCGACACACTGTAGCAGGAAGGCCACTGGCTTGGCCAGGGTCTTCCCACTGGGGAGGGGGGTGCTGGGGCCCTGCAACTCCCCTCTGCTCCAGGGGGCTTATCAAGCAAAGTCAGAGGTCTGGGGAATTTGAAGGGTGTGGTGCAGAGGACCTCAGCTGACCGCTGGTTCAGTCTGAAGACACTGAGTCAAGAAATAAACTCAAAACCGAGAGTCCAGTAGCACAGACAGGCTAGTGAGGAGGAGGAGGGATTTGGGTCAGGTCCCAAAGGGTGGGATGGCAGAGGGGAACATTCCAGGCAGGAGAGTGGGCAATAGCCCAGGGTTTGCAAGGTGGGGGCTTGGCCAGCACAGGTCAGTCCAGAAACACAGGTCGCATGGGCAGGACTGTGAAGCATCCAGGGCTCTTGGCCGGTTTGGCTTGGACGGAGTTGGTTTAAGCAGAAAAGAGGAGTTCACATTCAGAGGACATGGGAGGGTCTCCTGGAACCCCTGGTGGGAAGAGCTGCCAAGGCCGAGACAGCCTGGGGCCCGAGTTGGCTCCCGGGCTGCTCAGTGAGGCGGCTTTGTCCTCCCCCTGCCGCTGCCTCTGCCCTGGCCCACCCGCGTGTGCTCCCGTGGTCCTGGCTGTCCACAGAGCAGCTGTCTTTGCTTTCCCTGCACGCGGTGAAAGAAGATGCTCCCGCTGCTCCCACCATCACAGCATCCGAGTTTACACGTCATCAGGTCAAATCCTTGGCAGAAATAAGCTGGAAACCGTCCACCTTCCTAGGAAGGGCCCACCCAGGTCCCCTCTCCCGCCTCCTGTTGAGAACAAGGGTCTCTGCCCAAGGCCATATAGAGAGCTGGGCTGTGCCCGCTCCAAGCCTTCGGGAGGAGGGCACTCAGAGAAGGTGTGCTTCTCCACGGAGAACCTGAAAATCAACCAAGGCAGGGGTGCGGGGTGTGGTAGACACCAATGACCTGGGATAACTTGGTAGATTTGGGAGGGAGGACAGGGGTCAGGAAGGTCAAAACAGGATTATTGGTGTCTGGTGTTAGGTGGTGCCAAGGAGATGGGGGTTCTTTGAAGACCTCTGGGATGGGGTCTCATGCCCCCAGGCCCCTCTCCCTACCCCCACTGGCTTCTCTGCCAAGGTACGTAGCCTTCGGGTGCCTGCTCGTGGCATTAAACCATTATCTGCCAAGCCCAGTCCCAGCACCCCAGACGGGTGGAGAACAGGCCCCTTCTCCATTCCAGTGACGTGCCTCAGGCCTGATATCTCGTGACTCATGCAGTCCGGTCGTGCCTGCTATTAGAGAGACACACTCTAGCCCCAGAGGTGGGGCTGCCCTTGGTGGAATGTGGCAGCTGCTGAACATCTGGCTAGCAATGCAGTCCAACTGCTGAGCCGTGGGAGGTGGGGTGGCCCCTGCCCTGCAGAATGGTTGACGGGAGCCAACCAGCCCACTGGCCCAGGGAGTGACTTACCTCTAAGTGAGTTCTCGTCTCTGTCCTGCAGGGGGAACATCTCCCATCAACCAAGGGTTGTAAATACTGAGCCCTTCTTCCCGCCAAGCTTTTACTTCCTGCTTAAAACCCTGAAAGTAATGAGTTCGAACAACCCCTGCTTGGTCAGAGGTGCTTGTTTCCTCCATTCTACAGATCAGGAAACTGAGGCTCAGACGTGTCAAGTGCCTGGTCCAAGGTCACGTAGCTTGGTCAGATCCAAACCCTAGGGGTAAACGGGGAAGGAGGATTCCTGAATCCAAGCCCCAGGGACATGCTCTGTGTGTGTGTGTGTGGGGGGGGGGTGCTTTGTTGGTGACCAGGTGTGCTGCTTGCCCAGGACAGTCCCTGTCTGTGCCTGTGACCCCAGCATAATTGTTAGGAGGCCACTTCTCATTCTCAGAAGTGACCTGATTGGGACAGGACACGGCACGGTTACCCTGCAGCAAGTCCCGCGTTCTTGCACCCTCAGTGCCACTCCTCCTGGAATCAGAGGCTCCGTGTGTCACCCAGGGGGCTTGCACGCCGGACGTCCACTCCCTGACTTTGCTCTTCCGTACAGTGGGAGTGCCCAGCCCTGTTTCGGAGTTTTGAGCATAACCGGAGTAACACATGGGTCGGGTATGGATCCGGCGAAGTGCCTGGTGCCCAGTGAGTGCTAGCCAAACAGGTTTCATTCGCAAGAACACGAACTCGTTCTCATTGATTTAGTGTTGCCGATGTCCCAGCGGCACTTTGTCATTATGCATCTCCCCCCACCCGGTTTTATATTTTTCCTTCAAGAGTTGAAAACGGGAGCTGGGAACGCACGCCTCCCTTCCAAGAGTGCGCACTGCGCCTCTGACGACAGCGACGGGCTCGGCGGGCGGCGCCTTCGCTCGCTGCCGCTGCCCCCAGATGTGCTTCTTGCACTCACCCCAAGGGTGCGAACTAAGATCGTCCCGGTTTAATGTACGGGGAACCACGGCCCGGAGCGAGAAAGGGACTTGTGAAGGTCCCGGGAAGAGCCGAGAGGGAGGCGCCCACGGGCGGTCACCGCGCCGTGCATTTTCCGCGTCCTCCAGCAGAGGGGCGGGCGGCGGGCTCCGCGTCCCGCATAATAGCGGCTTTGATGCCGGCGGCCGGGCGGCGGGAGGGAAGGGAGGCGGGCCGGAGGGGAGGGAGGGAGGGAGGGGTGTGTCCGGCCGCCCGCGCCTTCCCTCCGCCCCTCGGTCCAGCCGCCACACGCCGCGGGAGCTCAGACCAGGCGCCGGGCCCTCCTCGTTCCTCGCCCGGCCGCGAAGCCCAGAGCAGGCGGGAGGCCCGTGCTCACCATGTCGGTCGCGCTCAGCAACAGGTTTCAAGGTAGGCGCCGCGCCCCCCGCTGTCCCGCAGCCTGCCCCGCCCCACTGCCGGCACGCTGTCCCGCGTCCCCGGCCCGCGCGCGTCGTGCCCCCGCCGCCACCTGTGCGCACCGGCGGACGGCGGGGTCTGCAGCGCGTTATAGCGGGCGCAGGCCCCTGGGGCGCGCGGCCGGGGAGACCCCCTCTTCCCCCGCCGTCTCTTTGTCTCCTCCAGGAGGGAAGGCGTTCGGCTTGCTCAAAGCCCGGCAGGAGAGGAGGCTTGCGGAGATCAACCGGGTAAGTGCGAGCCGCCACCTTCGCTTCTCTGAACCCGCCGCGAGGGCAGCTTGCGAGTCGCCGGAGCGGAGCGCCACCCGTCCCCAGAGCTCTCAACGCCCCGCGGGTCCCACCGCCATCTGCGAGGCTATGCTCCCCTTTCCTCTTCCCCGCCCCGGACTCCCCCCAATTTCCTCCCTCCGCCACTGTCCCTGTGCCTCCGACTCCAGGTAGGTCCTCCTCCACCCCCTCCACTACGTTCTGGGCCCGGCGTCTCGGGTTGCAAGTTGTTACTCTTAGACTGGGGAGGTAGGGCCCCGCCAGGAGCTCCGATAGCAGCGGGGCCCGGGGCTCCCCGGAAGCCGCCTGGGACCAGCCACAGGGATTTGGCGCCGGAAGGCACCCCCGAGCAGTCCGGGTTTTACAGCTGAGAGTCGGAAGGGAGGCCCAGAGAGGCTGAGCAGCTACCCAGCAAGTGTGGGTCAGGAGGCTGTTAGCGTCCTGGGCTCCAGACTCACCGGCCAGTGCTCTCTACAGCATAGAAAATGCTGGCCTCCCCTGGCCGGCTTGGCTCAGGGGTTGGAGCCTCGGCCTGCGGACCAGAGAGTCCCAGGTTCAGTTCCTGCTAGGCCCTAGCGGCTAGGGGCATGTACCAAAAAAAAAAAAGAAAAGAAAATGCTGGCCTCCTGTCTGCCCCACACCCACCCTCACAACTCTTTTCCACTCTAACTTTTAGGAGAGGCTTCCTTAGCGCCTTGATGCTTTTCTTGCTGGTCCTGGTGGGTTTCTATACAGAAAGCCATCTGACTGCTGCCTGGCACACAGTGGGAGCCCCGTAATCGTTTGTGTAATGACCATGTAGATTGTAGAAGATACGGAAGAGCATCAGAGCTCGGACGTAGCACAGCCAAGGCCTTCGGAGTGGTTCTGCGTGACCTGGTCTCCGTCACTTACCAGCTCTGTGGTCTTCACCAAGGACTTCTGTTCTCAGAGCCAGGGTCGCCCTGCATCAGAACAAAGGAAGACCTCTGTGGATGGTGCTAGAATTATTTCCTGAGAAGGACATCTCCCAAGTTCCTTCCTAACTGGTTGTGGAGGCATGCCTCCTGAAGCGGGGCTGGCATTCCCTCTGCTGGCTCCCTTGGGCCATGGCGCGCCCAGGGTTCAAGCCCAGCTCTGAGTCCCAAAGTGGAAAGTTGATGGGGTCAGCAGGGTCCTGGGGGAGGCTGTGGGGTGGGGCCAGGCACTGTGGCATGCTTGCAGTATTTCGTTGGGGGGCTTGCAGTCTGGATTTCCTCTTTGGTTTTCTTGGATTATCTAGCACTAGGTAGCGTGTCTGATTTCATCCCACTAGCTATAGGAATCTCGTGGAGGGCGCTGGGAACCTCAGGATCCCTCACTGCCATCCTTAGCCTGCCTGTTGGTGTCCTCTTGAGCACAGCCGAAAAGGAGCCTGGATGTCTGGCTGAGATCTCAGGGGTCCAGGCTGCTGGGCCCCCTCCCAGTTCACTCTGCAGCCTGCAGGTCTTGGCTGCTCCTGCCCTCTGGACAGGAGCCTGGAACCCTGACCTCATACAGCCCCCTGGGCCACTGGGCTGGGCGGGTTCCAAGCTGGCTGAATCCACCCACAGCCAGCAGGACCCTGAGCCAGAGACAGCTGGGATGGGGGAGAGGTGACTGTAGCTGGACAAACCAGAGTTGCTGAGTGTGTGGGACTTTCCATGCCAACCCTGCTGGGGAGGCTACAGGGTTGTTTTGGGAGGGCGACTTGCTTGGCTCTGAAAGGGGAAGGCTCGTGCCTCTCGGGAGCTGGGCTGGACAGCCATGGGGCTGGAGAGGGAGAGCAAGAAGGGTCTGTGTCTAACCACCTTGGGACCCCAGTGCCCAGAGAGGGCAAGCATTTGGCCAAAGCCACACAGGATCCAGTGGCAGAACTTGCAGTCTAGTGTCCCTTCCCTGCCCAGACGCTATTCTGAGACCACCACGCGAGCTGTGCTGCTGGGATTCCGGCTCTCAACCCCTGGAGGAAGGAGGCTCCAGGATCAAACCGGAAACTTGAGCTGCTTCCTACCGAAGTAGGTCAAGGTAGCCCCACCAAGGTTTAGAGTCAGAAAGGGGAGGAAGGGGTGGGGCAGAGTATTGTTGGCTCTATGACCTTGGGCAAGGCACTTGAGATCATGGTAGTCAGGCTGTTGTGATTTTTCAGCGATATAATCTATGTAAAGCACATAAGGAGAGCTGGCTGCTGTCATGATTGTTATCATTAGTTTGTTTAGGGCTTAAAGGTGCAGGGAGCGGAAACCAAGGCTGCCCGTGGCCCCTGCTGGCCACTCAGTCTGGGCAACCACTTCACTTGGAAGAATAGTCTTCCCCTGCCTGAAATGGAAACCATGACCCCTGTTCTGCTCCGAGCCCCTCCAACAATCAGTGGAGATGAGCAGGTGAAGCTCTTGGCAGATTCTGAGGGAGTCTCTCTGTTGGAGGGTCTGAGTCCATTTCTCTCATGACCATGGCCATAGTGGAGGTTCTAGAGAGAGCCATGTTGACAGCCAGACCGGCCTTCCTTTGGGGTTCAGCTTCACTGGTGGGCTGAACTGAGCAGCTGCCCTGTGGCCCCGTGGAAGCTGGAAGCCGGGAAGGACGGGACTGCATGCTCAGTTCACGTGCTTGGGTACCTCTGCGGCTGCTGCCCAGGGCAGAGCCCGGCCTGGCTGGCAGCTCTGGGGGCTTCTAGGATCGACATCCTTTTGAGGCTTTTCTCCCCCACTCTCCAGGGTGGGCCAGCAGGGCAGCTCACTCTTAGCTGTTATAAGGATTCAGGAGTGAAAATAGAGACTTGGGTGGACCTAGAGGTCCTGGCGGAGCTGAATGGAAATGCACTTTTTTGGTTTCACTGTAGCTTTTGCTATCATTTTCTGCACACGGGGCATGTGCCAGGCAGTGTGGCAGGCAGTGTGGCAGGCGTGCTTTGGGTATTATCTTGTTGAACGCTTACTTTAACCCTGAGTGTGTATTCCCATGTTATAGAAACAAGACTCAGAGAGGTCGAGTCAGTTGCCTGGGTTTAAACAGCCACACTTGAACCCAGCCTATTCTGTCAACTTCTGAACTTGACTGGGTTTCCTCTGTGGATGCCCACCCCCACCTCTGTGCTGTGTGTGTGTGTGTGTGTGTGTGTGTGTGTGTGTGTGCGCGTGTGTGCGCGCGCACATTCTCTGCACTACTGGAGCAGGCAGGACAGGCGTACACCTCCTACTCCCCCCACATAGCTGACATTCTCTGAGCCCTGATGGCCTGGCAGGTGACCCCAGGCCAGCAGGCCCAGCCTTATATGGCTACAGGACACATTCTCTCCAGCTTCCCACAGGAGGCAGAGAGAAGCGTCGGGGCTGGATGGGTGCCCCTCAGGGTGCTCTTACCCTAGAGGCCATCGAGGGCTGCAGCTTCAGCTGGCCAGAGGCCAGGATCTTTAACAAAATAACAGGAGGCGTGCCTGGGGCTTGACTGGCACCGTGTCACTGACTCCTGTCAAAGGAACGTCTGATTAGAAAGACGTGCAACAAGAATGTGTCAACATCGCATGGGGCACGGATCGCAAGGGCTCCCATTTTAGAGATGAGGAAGCAGAGGCTCAGCCAAGGTCATCCAGCCAGGAAGTGGCAGAGCCAGGAGTCTAACTTCAGACGCCGCCCATAGCCTGCCCTGGCCCCTGTCTGCCAGGTGGGCATGGCCTAGCTGTGACACAGGCTTCTTGCTTCGGTGGATAAAGATCTTTGGCTACTCTCCCGCCCTCCCAGCCCTCCTGGGTCGAGTGAAGGGCACTCAGCGTTCCCTGTAGCACTTTGGTGCCTCGTAGTTATCTCAGGACCCACGTGCCATCTGTACTGGGAAGAGCTGGGCACAGCGGGCCATGTGTCTCTGCCCAGAAGGGTATATGTCCCGGCCCCTCCCTGAGCAATGGGGGACCTCTGAGACCTGACCCAGGTACTACGCAGGTGTGTCTTTTCCTGTGTACTGGCAGTGCCACTGTATCCCTGCCCAGGTGAATGTGCCCAGCTGGCATCACTGGGCACCCGTCTCTCTTGCTCTTCCTTAATATATTATAAGGGAGATGGTGATAAGCGGCCACGTGAGCCTCCGAGGATTCAGTGTCCTCACAGGTCCGGCCAGTCACGACCTCAGTGTGGCCATGTCACAGGAAGCTAGAGATGGAATTTCTGCAGGGTCTGCTTTATTTTGTGGTTGATGGGTGTTTTTCTCCAGTTGCCCCATCTGTTGGCGAGGACACAGCGTCCGGATGAGGCCCGGAGCTGCTGCGGGGAATGTGAGCTGTTCTTTCAGGTGCATGTTACAGACTCCTCTGCTCGCCAGGCACCAGGCTGGGCACTTGTGCCCTGGTCCTGGCCCTTTAAGAAACCTGTGGGCTGACTTACAGGCCCCACAGCCTGGTATCGTGACGCCTGGCCTTGGGGTTTTCGCCCAGGGTTTCAGCCACCAGCCCCTTAGATGGCCTCCAAGATGGTGATATCTGCCCGCCCCAAAATTCTGCTCCAGCTAATACATAAAGACAAGCCCGGAGGGCCAGGAGCAAGCAGCCGGGAGCAGGTGCTAGAGGTACCGGCCCAGAAAGAGAGTTAAGTTTGGGGTGGAGGTGGTGGGGGTGGGGAGAACCAGGTAGGTGGCAAGGATCCAAAGGCCAGACACAGCAGGGGCTGCCCATCTCGGCTGGTTTGGGAAGTAGCCCCTCCTGGGCATGAGCACTTGGATGGGGCTCCTGGGGGTGGGAAGGAGCAGCACTGAGCAGGCTTGAGGTGTGCGCTGTCCCCCAGGGCTGAGACGGAGCGCTCTGCCCCTCCCCCTGCTGCGGATGGCCTGTCACGGCTAGGTCAGCCAGGTGTCCAAGGACAAAGCAGAGCTTGCCCTTGAGGACGGAAGGCCAGAGGGTCAAGGCTTACCAGAGGGACTTCGTGGCATAATGTGGGACAGGAAGTGTGGCTGGGTCACTTCTCTGCTCTTCTCCT